ATTAGCTATTAGTATGTCAAATCAATAGTTAGTTGTAATGGTTGAACAGTAAGTAGTTGTAGGGGAGAAAGTGTATATAGATTATAGCTCTTAATTAATTAGTGCTGTAAATTTGCCAAATGTATAGTTATGTTTATTCTTGACTTGACACAATTCATGTATAGAAATGTACTGTTTGAATAAAGGATTTTTTGATTTGATTTGATTTGATTTGATTCGATTATCGTCATCGATACCACCGATACATGGACATTGGTATCGGTACCAAGACTCGATTGTCAAAAGTCGATTCCGATGATACCGACATCCGACAGGGATAAATATTTTATTTTTACATTTATTTACTGTATAGCTACAGTATTAGTTTTGTCATCACGGTTAACAATTTTCATAGCCAACTTAGAAACTATCTAGTTCAAAACAGCGACGGTACCGGTGACATTGTTTAGCTTCAGCATTGCACAACACAATCTACGAATCTACATTTCAAGATGTCAGACTCAACTCAAGAGACAAACGGCGCGCGAATGTCCTGCCAACACGAAATTAATTATACTAAACAATGTCTGTATCAATAAGTCAGACATTTAGTTGTATTATTTTTATTTTTAGTACAAAATAAATAACCTAAACACGTCGAAATTTTCAGTTTAATAATCCCTGCATTATACGCATCATTAGAAAAATTATATTCAACCATTAAACTTTAACATCGTCGTATGGTTAGGCTTGCTTTATATTGCGCCAAAAAGTAGATCCATATTTTGATCTGTACTATCTACCTGATTAAAGAGTTTAGTGAAGTTTTAAGTGCTACTACATAATGTATTTATTGAAAAATATTATAAGCCTTAGTCCGTGTCGATTTTGTAATGTTAAAACGATTGGTGAATATTGACAATAAAAGTATGTAACAACAGTTTTCATTGGTCAGGAGGCGTCAGTGCACTACCATGTCAGCCAATCGACTGTCGTGTTTCAATGGAGCAAATGACGATTGCTTTGACATCGTTTAATGTTTTATTGTGGGTGGAAAGGGTATCGATAAATATCGTGATTCGAGATCCGATATGTAGGACGTGTTTGTTTATAAATAATGAGTATTTAAGTATAAAAAACTAGGTTACAGACAGGTTCAAAACTTCGATTGTTCCGATCCATTGTTGACACCCCTACACGGAGGTTATAGTGACGTCGTGCATTTAAGGGCCAGGCAAGCCGGTTCACAGTGAATCCACTCTGCCGAACCTTGTTCTTGGTATAATCGGGAACATAGTCAAACACTTTTGTTACTAAATAAAACTATGAAATGTTTGTTAAAAGCACTCTTTTGGAGATTTTAGTCCCAAAACATCATCTTTATTGTAGGCTAAAAGTAAAACCTAACTAGTGCCATACTTTTCTCCACAGACGTCGACATAGGCTATTATGCAATGTCTTTAAAAAATACCAGGGTTTCAGTCAAAATACTTCTGTAAACATTGACAATGTGCTGTTTTAGCACAGTTCATTCCTTGACCACGATCGTTTTTACTCACTAGAGAAAAGACTCTCCTTACAAAATGTATTTGTAGGCCAAGATGTTTGTATTTTTTTTAATGTAAGCTTATAACTGCAATTGCCTTTATAAAGAAATACAAAAACTGACAAATGACTTAGATTAATACTTAAAAAGTTAAGCCTATTTATAAATTAAAGGAAACTTTATTAAATCTCATCATAGTCAAATTCAAACATTTACAGTATTTCAAAATTATTAACCGGCCGAGGGTGAGGGAGGGCATGTGAACCAGGCTTTAGAACAAGGGCAAATTCTGCCAAACTTTCTCTTTTCCTCCCCCATGTCCCGTTAGACGGTGGGTGGGGCTTCACACAATAAACAGTTCATTCATTCACAGTAGAGAAGAGTTTTTGTGGCAGTGACGTATGTCTCTTGTCTGCACTTCAAGTTCACACATCTGGACTTCTTTAAAACAATTATAAGTGATAATCTTTATTAAAAATAAGTGAAAAACTGTTGACATTTTCAAGGAAAAAAAGTTGAGAAATAAAAGTGTTAAATAGTAGTTTACGCAACGATTGCGTTAAGTGAGTCTTTACGACACGAGTAGAAAATTTAAGGCACGAGCCTTGGCGAGTGCCTTAAAAACTTCTACGAGTGTCGTAAAGACTATTAACGCGAGTTGCGTACACTACTTTACCTACGACCGTTTTTTAATTACTATCAATCTGGATTTAATTACTAACAATCACTACTGATAACTTTTTAGAGAGGTTATGTTTTCGTGTAGGCCTATTGTCATTGCCACTGAAAGTGATGCAACGACTTGTTGTATAATCAGCTGATTTCCTGTAATTACGTGTTTGTTAAACTTCGTTAAATATTACATTGCTAGCAGCATTCTTACCATAAATAATATTGTATCAGGTACAATTCGGCAAATATTTCATTTATTTTTGGACTTCCACCAACTTAATTAAGAATACGCGAGTATCAACATGAACGAGTCGGATCAACAATTAAATTGGTCAACTGATCAGCTGATTAGTTGACGTTCGAAGCATTACAATTTTAATTCTTTTCTCTCAATACTTGAACCTCATTGGTCCGTTACCTGTGTGGATATGAGAAAAACTATGCTGATATGAAATGAAACTATGCTGATATGAAAGTAAACAGCTGTAAAGTGAAACTTTTCAATTCTAAGAACTGGACTGAAATAGCTACTTTAAAAAACGGTCGTAGGTAAAATTTTGTTTGATTAGTTATTCTGTATTTCAAAAATATCCTCATTTATGATTATGTTTTCAGCTAGACTTGGTGACTTTTTCATAGTTAAACAAATTTTGAAGATATATAATTAGTGAGAAAATGTCATTATATAGGAAGTTAGTTTTTACTCACTTGGGGGAAAAAACTTACCTTACAAAGAGTATTTGTAGACCAAGATGTAGGTCCTAATTATGTTTAATTACGACTAGGTACGTAATAAAAATTAAAAAAAATTATAAACTAATGAGTTAACTAAGACAATTTCATGGAATTTCAAATAAATACAAAAACTGAGAAATGACTTAGATAAATACTTATAAGCCTATTTATAAATTAGAGGAAACTTTATTAGATCTCATGCTTTAGTCAAATTCAAACATTTACAGTAGGCCTATTTTAAAATAAACACTTAGTTCCATATTTTTGCAATTTTTTTTGCAATTAATAATAAATCTTTAACACCAAAATATAAGTTTGATACACATACATATTGTGTTTTTTATATGGTATAAAAGTTTTTAACCAGGTCTATTTTTGGTAAATTGAGAAATGCTTTGTTCCTAAAAATGAAGATGGAATATATGTAAAATAAAATTGTTGATTTTCTCGTGAACTACTCGACTCGACTCGACTCGACTCGATACTCGAGTATTAGGGCTAATCACTCGACTCAAAAAACACTACTCGCCCATCCCTAATTGCAGATACATTAATCCACACCCAAACTCCACACGGCTCACCTTTACTACTTCCTTCACCACTCCCTACGTCGTAGACCTGTTTGCCCTCCTTCTCCATACCATTTTAGAATTGCAGATACATAAATGCCACAGACAGTTCCCACACTCTGCACTGCTAGCCTTACTACTTCCTCCACCATTTCCTACGTCATAGACCTGTTTTCCTCCCTTCTCATAGCATTTCAGGATTGTAGATACCTTAATCTAATCCCCATTAACAGTTCCCGCACTCCACACTGCTAGCCTTTACTACAATCAAAGATAAAAAAATTCCTGCTACGATATATCGAGTAATCTTCAGTATAATCTTTGCTCAATAGTAACAACTGATGTTTTTCCTTTTGTACTGTATTTTGTAATTTGGTAGTATACTGTACATAGACTACTTACAAGTCTTTTGTTTACTTTTTCCTCAATGTGGTGGGGCGGATGACGTCATCACCGGCGGCAGTTTTTCGGCATTTACTCAGGTGTTTTTAGAGCACAAATTATACAAATTGTATATTGTTGTGGCTCAATATGAGCACTAAATCGTGATACCATTTTCAACCGGTTTGCTCAATGTGGTGGGGCGGATGACGTCATCATCGGCGGCAGTTTTTCCTCATTTACTCGGGTGTTTTAGGAGCACAAATTATAAAACTTATATATTGTTGTAGCACAAAATGAGCACTAAATCATGACACCATTTTCAACCGATTTGCTCAATGTGGCGGGGCGGATGACGTCATCACCAGCGGCAGTTTTTCCTCATTTACTAGGTTGTTTTTAGAGCACAAATTATAAAAACTATATATTGTTGTAGCACAAAATGAGCACTAAATTTCTATGTATAATACATTGTTAATTCCTTTGGTGGCGGGCTGAACGTGAAGTTAGCCCCGCCAATAGTTTTTATAATTTTTTGGTGTGTTATTGTTGAGCACAATTTTTTTTATATATACCTTTTAGAAGCACAAATTCAGCATTAAATTAATTATGGACATGTTTTTATAATTTGTGCTCATTATGGTGGGGCCAACTTCACGCGGGTTCCTGGTTTTCAATACTATGTGCCAAGGGGCACATTTTTCTCAAAACAGCTTCTGCTTGATGAATGAAATCTGTAACTTGTGACGGCACCATTGAATGATCCATGTTGGTGTCAGGGTATGTATGTATCATGTCATGAGTTTTTCCCACATCAAAACCCCCTTGTGATGTCATTCAAAAACATTAAACTGTTTTATTCTAATCAAGCATAGTATAAACATAAAAGCCTAGGACATTTTTAATGAAAAAAAAAATACTGTATAGTTTTTTTAGCCTTCTTTTGATGTTTTGAACAGTAGAGATATAAAACTGTATGTGATCTGCTTTGATATTGGCTGCCGGGAGTGATCTTAAGCATTTAGAAGTAGATTTATGAGCCAGTTGATGCAAGGGCAATTAAGAGTGTCCACTGTAAATAAACTATTTTAGATATAAATTGCATAAAAGCAGCTTACGCTTCATTATTCTGGTTGGTGATTTTTTCGCCAGGTGGTATGAGGCGGTACATGTCGTTCTCACCACTTGATTTCATCAGCTCTGCCTTGATTACTGGTGGCGGCTGTTGGTGGAAGATGGCAATGTGTGTGTGGATGTTCTTGATTGACTGACACTTCATCAGCCGATAGCTGAAGTTAATCTTGCGGCAGTGGCTGAATAAGATAAACAAAATGTCAGACATAATATTTGTGCTAACAAGTGTTTGAAGAAAGGACGATTCCCATTTGCCAGGATTAACAAAAATCTAAATTCAACATGTTCAGGTTCACTTAGTGTTACAAAATATAACTTATTAATACCTAACTATTGCATGAACTATCTCCAATTCAGTTAAAAAAAAATTAATACAAACAAAGATTTCTGTAAGTTGATTATTGCAATAAATAAATAGACCAAAGTTGGATCATTGTTTTGTTTTGATTCATCATCGTTACCTCCAACAATAGTGATAGTTAAATAAAGGTACCTATTCTTAAATCTTGAATCAAATTTTTAACATCTATATCCAAGTAAAATTTGTTTACCATTAAATATGGAATCTACTATGAAAATATATCCTCACTATTAGAGAACATTTTCCCAAACAAACTGCGACCAAGCTCTGTTTGGATTAGGGGAAATTCTGAATAAGCAGATTTCTTTAATAATATCAATGTATTGCTGACAAAACCTTCATGATTGCGGTTAACGTTTGAGTAGCTACGATCAAACAGAAATGATGACAATGTTCTGTAACATTTGAGTATATTGAAAATCTCTATTGTTTACAGAGACATATCTAACTTTGCTAACGATTTCAGTTATATCAATACCTTCCACAATGTTTGTGGTATCATCGTCTGATTCTCCACCATTTGTGGCAACATTTCCAATTTATTTTGCCGACATTTAGGTACCTACTGTATTGCTGAATTTGACACCGTTCTTGGAAAAATTTGTAGTTTTGTTTTTAATTTTAATGCAGTAACATGTTTCCCGCAACTGGTGGCTTGGAAAAGCCAGATATTCAGATTTGGAAGACAAAATCAAAATTTTGCGTTTTCTGTGAGAAAGATAAGCTTACATCTATAGGAGAATCTGACTTACTCCAATATATGTTCTCGTTCATCATAGGTGAAATCATCTCCGAAGATCAATTCCTCAGAACGATTTTTCTTAGCGAATTCATTGACGTGGTTTACCATGGCAGTTCTGTCCTTGAAAGCTATCCGTTTCACTACCCTTAAATAAGAAATCTTCACTATAAAGATGGTCTTAACACAATTATGTTTATGTTATAATAGCAATAACAACAATGTAGGCTAATATAATTCATTACTTATTGAAATTCCTTTAAACTACATTTTTTGCAATAAATTAAAATGTCAGTTTAATTTTTAAGAAAAACAAGCTAACAAATTTGAAGAATCCTGGTTCTGTCCATCAAAGAATGCAAAAGAGAAAAAATGATAGGCCTATCACAAAAAATGATATCACTGTTCAAGATAACAATCTAAACTTCAAACGTTAAATAAATTATCAATAAAAATTTTCTAACAGCAATTAAATAGTGTTTATGTATTTAAGATTATGAAATAAAATTACCTGTAAAAGTGGGATTTAGCAGGGTCTGGATTGAAATCATAGGGAGTTGCTTTTCCTTCCTTGAAGTAACTCTCTTTAGCCTGAGAAAAAAGTTGCATCAACCTTAATCATTAAAAAATACTCTACAATCGTGTTAACTAGAATAAATATAATTCTAAAGAATTATGGCTATACTGTAGTGATGTGTCAAAACCAAATCTCAAAACCATCAAAACTTTAGAAAAGTTTCGGTTTTGAGATTCGATCACCGAGTTTCGAGATTCAAAAGTTTCGAAATTGAAGATTTTTGCAGTGATTTTTGAAACTGCTGAAATTATTTTGTGTCATTATTATTGTGTTTCAACACAATAATAACACAAGCTCATAACAATAGACAAACATCACCATTAATAGTAATGAAACAAGTCAATTGTAGGCTAATCTGAACTTCAAAAGGCATTGTAAATACTATAACTGGAAAGATGTATGATTCAGTTTCATATCAATATTTATTAAACCCAAAGAAATATTAACCACTATAATTTGTTCTAATTAATCTAATATTCATATTTATAATGGTGTTAGGAGTTTAATTTATTTTAATGTTGGTTGTTTATACAAAATTATGTTGTAAGTGATTGGGTTTTAAGATTATCAGTCACATATTTATGCTATGTCAGTGTCAGGAGTTGATCTCTTTTAGTTTTGATTGCATACTTAACATTTTATTATTACCTGTATTTTTTATAACCTTGACCTTTGTAACCAGCTAAGTAAAACACTAAAAAAGTTTTGCGTTTAGGTTTTGAGATTCGAGATTTGATTTTTAAAAGTTTCGGTTTCAGTTTTGAGATTCGAAATTTCTGGTTTTGACCATCACTACTATACTGCATAATATAGCAAACACAATACCGTTGAGTAACACAATACTTTTCCAGCTTTTGAGTTACTAACTTATGGCATAGGCAAATATAAACCTGCTTAGATGTAAGGCGACATAATAACTTCAGCCAACAGGTTTTAAATCAATAACGAATCAGTTCTGTTACAGCAGAAGATATTCAGGATTTTGCCACAGTTGAGAAGACAATGGTTATTGGTTATGTTCCTGTGACCGCAAGAGAGGCTCAATATTTATTCTTAATTGCGGAGGGCGGTGAAGAGTTATCCTTTACCACAAAAGATATTTAGATTTTACACTGATCATGGAAAATAATGATAATATCCCCTGACTGCTTGAGACGTCCAATATTTTGCCACGATCGCAGGAGACATTGATAATTAGGGATGGGTTGATTGTCGGTTTTACCAGTTTTTAGGAAAAAACCGAAATTTAGAATTGACATAAAAAGTCGCTTTCCGGTTTATCGGTTACTGTGCAATCATTTTTTTGCCAGCGGTAGTTGGTTAAGAGGACATTAAAGCTTTATCAGATGTTTGTTTACGACCTTCATAATTTATTACCAACTATGGTAATGATGCAATAAAATCCCCATTAGCAGTCCCAAACCTAATATGACAGTAATCATTGACTTACTCAAGGTCAAGTCAAATACTTCCAAGAACTCGTACTCAAGGTCAAGTCAAGTACTTCCAAGAACTCGTACTCAAGGTCAAATCAAGTACTTCCAAGAATTTGGTGAGCCAATAGTTTTTTTACAAATTACATTATTTATTACTATGTTAGTTATAAAATCAAAAACTCATTTTATCATGGAAATAATAGTTTTATGGCGGTTATTACAATTCACTTCTGATGACTCACAAAGTATTTTTGTTGTGAACATTCAATCCTGGCCATTGCCTACTGCCATACAACTGTTTGTGGATTCATATCTACACAGTTATATATTGTATAACTTAAAATATGTTTCCAGTGGATAGCTATAGTGCTGTACCTGTATAGCGTAGCAGTGTTTCCAACGGATAGCTATAGTACCTGTTTAGCGTAGCAGTGTTTCCAACAGATAGTTATAGTACCTGTATAGTGTAGCAGTGTTTCCAAAGGATAGTTATAGTACCTGTATAGCGTAGCAGTGTTTCCAACGGATAGTTATAGTACCTGTATAGTGTAGCAGTGTTTCCAACGGATAGCTATAGTACCTGTATAGTGTAGCAGTGTTTCCAACGGATAGTTATAGTACCTGTATAGTGTAGCAGTGTTTCCAACGGATAGCTATAGTACCTGTATAGTGTAGCAGTGTTTCCAACGGATAGTTATAGTACCTGTATAGCGTAGCAGTGTTTCCAACGGATAGCTATAGTACCTGTATAGTGTAGCAGTGTTTCCAACGGATAGTTATAGTACCTGTTTAGTGTAGCAGTGTTTCCAACAGATAGCTATAGTACCTGTATAGTGTAGCAGTGTTTCCAACGGATAGTTATAGTACCTGTTTAGCGTAGCAGTGTTTCCAACGGATAGTTATAGTACCTGTATAGTGTAGCAGTGTTTCCAACGGATAGCTATAGTACCTGTATAGTGTAGCAGTGTTTCCAACGGATAGTTATAGTACCTGTTTAGCGTAGCAGTGTTTCCAACGGATAGTTATAGTACCTGTATAGTGTAGCAGTGTTTCCAACGGATAGTTATAGTACCTGTATAGTGTAGCAGTGTTTCCAACGGATAGTTATAGTACCTGTATAGTGTAGCAGTGTTTCCAACGGATAGTTATAGTACCTGTATAGCGTAGCAGTGTTTCCAACGGATAGTTATAGTACCTGTATAGTGTAGCAGTGTTTCCAACGGATAGTTATAGTACCTGTTTAGCGTAGCAGTGTTTCCAACGGATAGTTATAGTACCTGTATAGTGTAGCAGTGTTTCCAACGGATAGTTATAGTACCTGTATAGTGTAGCAGTGTTTCCAACGGATAGTTATAGTACCTGTATAGTGTAGCAGTGTTTCCAACGGATAGTTATAGTACCTGTTTAGCGTAGCAGTGTTTCCAACGGATAGTTATAGTACCTGTATAGTGTAGCAGTGTTTCCAACGGATAGTTATAGTACCTGTTTAGCGTAGCAGTGTTTCCAACGGATAGTTATAGTACCTGTATAGTGTAGCAGTGTTTCCAACGGATAGTTATAGTACCTGTATAGTGTAGCAGTGTTTCCAACGGATAGCTATAGTACCTGTTTAGCGTAGCAGTGTTTCCAACAGATAGTTATAGTACCTGTATAGTGTAGCAGTGTTTCCAACGGATAGTTATAGTACCTGTTTAGCGTAGCAGTGTTTCCAACGGATAGTTATAGTACCTGTATAGTGTAGCAGTGTTTCCAACGGATAGTTATAGTACCTGTATAGTGTAGCAGTGTTTCCAACGGATAGCTATAGTACCTGTTTAGCGTAGCAGTGTTTCCAACAGATAGTTATAGTACCTGTATAGTGTAGCAGTGTTTCCAACGGATAGTTATAGTACCTGTATAGTGTAGCAGTGTTTCCAACGGATAGCTATAGTACCTGTATAGTGTAGCAGTGTTTCCAACGGATAGTTATAGTACCTGTATAGCGTAGCAGTGTTTCCAACGGATAGCTATAGTACCTGTATAGTGTAGCAGTGTTTCGAACGGATAGTTATAGTACCTGTATAGTGTAGCAGTGTTTCCAACAGATAGTTATAGTACCTGTATAGTGTAGCAGTGTTTCCAACGGATAGTTATAGTACCTGTATAGCGTAGCAGTGTTTCCAACAGATAGCTATAGTACCTGTTTAGCGTAGCAGTGTTTCCAACGGATAGTTATAGTACCTGTATAGTGTAGCAGTGTTTCCAACGGATAGTTATAGTACCTGTATAGCGTAGCAGTGTTTCCAACGGATAGTTATAGTACCTGTATAGCGTAGCAGTGTTTCCAACGGATAGCTATAGTACCTGTATAGTGTAGCAGTGTTTCCAACGGATAGCTATAGTACCTGTATAGTGTAGCAGTGTTTCCAACGGATAGTTATAGTACCTGTATAGCGTAGCAGTGTTTCCAACGGATAGTTATAGTACCTGTATAGCGTAGCAGTGTTTCCAACGGATAGCTATAGTACCTGTATAGTGTAGCAGTGTTTCCAACGGATAGTTATAGTACCTGTATAGCGTAGCAGTGTTTCCAACGGATAGCTATAGTACCTGTATAGTGTAGCAGTGTTTCCAACGGATAGTTATAGTACCTGTTTAGTGTAGCAGTGTTTCCAACGGATAGCTATAGTACCTGTATAGCGTAGCAGTGTTTCCAACGGATAGCTATAGTACCTGTATAGCGTAGCAGTGTTTCCAACGGATAGCTATAGTACCTGTATAGTGTAGCAGTGTTTCCAACAGATAGTTATAGTACCTGTATAGTGTAGCAGTGTTTCCAACGGATAGTTATAGTACCTGTATAGCGTAGCAGTGTTTCCAACGGATAGCTATAGTACCTGTATAGCGTAGCAGTGTTTCCAACAGATAGCTATAGTACCTGTATAGTGTAGCAGTGTTTCCAACGGATAGTTATAGTACCTGTATAGTGTAGCAGTGTTTCCAACGGATAGTTATAGTACCTGTATAGCGTAGCAGTGTTTCCAACGGATAGCTATAGTACCTGTATAGCGTAGCAGTGTTTCCAACAGATAGCTATAGTACCTGTATAGTGTAGCAGTGTTTCCAACGGATAGTTATAGTACCTGTATAGCGTAGCAGTGTTTCCAACGGATAGCTATAGTACCTGTATAGTGTAGCAGTGTTTCCAACGGATAGTTATAGTACCTGTTTAGTGTAGCAGTGTTTCCAACGGATAGCTATAGTACCTGTATAGCGTAGCAGTGTTTCCAACAGATAGCTATAGTACCTGTATAGTGTAGCAGTGTTTCCAACGGATAGTTATAGTACCTGTATAGTGTAGCAGTGTTTCCAACGGATAGCTATAGTACCTGTATAGTGTAGCAGTGTTTCCAACGGATAGTTATAGTACCTGTATAGCGTAGCAGTGTTTCCAACGGATAGCTATAGTACCTGTATAGTGTAGCAGTGTTTCCAACGGATAGTTATAGTACCTGTATAGTGTAGCAGTGTTTCCAACAGATAGTTATAGTACCTGTATAGTGTAGCAGTGTTTCCAACGGATAGTTATAGTACCTGTATAGCGTAGCAGTGTTTCCAACAGATAGCTATAGTACCTGTTTAGCGTAGCAGTGTTTCCAACGGATAGTTATAGTACCTGTATAGTGTAGCAGTGTTTCCAACGGATAGTTATAGTACCTGTATAGCGTAGCAGTGTTTCCAACGGATAGTTATAGTACCTGTATAGCGTAGCAGTGTTTCCAACGGATAGCTATAGTACCTGTATAGTGTAGCAGTGTTTCCAACGGATAGCTATAGTACCTGTATAGTGTAGCAGTGTTTCCAACGGATAGTTATAGTACCTGTATAGCGTAGCAGTGTTTCCAACGGATAGTTATAGTACCTGTATAGCGTAGCAGTGTTTCCAACGGATAGCTATAGTACCTGTATAGTGTAGCAGTGTTTCCAACGGATAGTTATAGTACCTGTATAGCGTAGCAGTGTTTCCAACGGATAGCTATAGTACCTGTATAGTGTAGCAGTGTTTCCAACGGATAGTTATAGTACCTGTTTAGTGTAGCAGTGTTTCCAACGGATAGCTATAGTACCTGTATAGCGTAGCAGTGTTTCCAACGGATAGCTATAGTACCTGTATAGTGTAGCAGTGTTTCCAACAGATAGTTATAGTACCTGTATAGTGTAGCAGTGTTTCCAACGGATAGTTATAGTACCTGTATAGCGTAGCAGTGTTTCCAACGGATAGCTATAGTACCTGTATAGCGTAGCAGTGTTTCCAACAGATAGCTATAGTACCTGTATAGTGTAGCAGTGTTTCCAACGGATAGTTATAGTACCTGTATAGTGTAGCAGTGTTTCCAACGGATAGTTATAGTACCTGTATAGCGTAGCAGTGTTTCCAACGGATAGCTATAGTACCTGTATAGCGTAGCAGTGTTTCCAACAGATAGCTATAGTACCTGTATAGTGTAGCAGTGTTTCCAACGGATAGTTATAGTACCTGTATAGCGTAGCAGTGTTTCCAACGGATAGCTATAGTACCTGTATAGTGTAGCAGTGTTTCCAACGGATAGTTATAGTACCTGTTTAGTGTAGCAGTGTTTCCAACGGATAACTATAGTACCTGTATAGCGTAGCAGTGTTTCCAACGGATAGTTATAGTACCTGTATAGCGTAGCAGTGTTTCCAACGGATAGTTATAGTACCTGTATAGTGTAGCAGTGTTTCCAACGGATAGTTATAGTACCTGTATAGTGTAGCAGTGTTTCCAACGGATAGTTATAGTACCTGTATAGTGTAGCAGTGTTTCCAACGGATAGTTATAGTACCTGTATAGTGTAGCAGTGTTTCCAACGGATAGTTATAGTACCTGTATAGTGTAGCAGTGTTTCCAACGGATAGTTATAGTACCTGTATAGCGTAGCAGTGTTTCCAACGGATAGCTATAGTACCTGTATAGCGTAGCAGTGTTTCCAACAGATAGCTATAGTACCTGTATAGTGTAGCAGTGTTTCCAACGGATAGCTATAGTACCTGTATAGTGTAGCAGTGTTTCCAACAGATAGTTATAGTACCTGTATAGCGTAGCAGTGTTTCCAACGGATAGCTATAGTACCTGTATAGCGTAGCAGTGTTTCCAACAGATAGCTATAGTACCTGTATAGCGTAGCAGTGTTTCCAACGGATAGCTATAGTACCTGTATAGCGTAGCAGTGTTTCCAACGGATAGCTATAGTACCTGTATAGTGTAGCAGTGTTTCCAACGGATAGTTATAGTACCTGTATAGTGTAGCAGTGTTTCCAACGGATAGTTATAGTACCTGTATAGCGTAGCAGTGTTTCCAACAGATAGTTATAGTACCTGTATAGTGTAGCAGTGTTTCCAACGGATAGCTATAGTACCTGTATAGCGTAGCAGTGTTTCCAACGGATAGTTATAGTACCTGTATAGTGTAGCAGTGTTTCCAACGGATAGTTATAGTACCTGTATAGTGTAGCAGTGTTTCCAACGGATAGCTATAGTACCTGTATAGTGTAGCAGTGTTTCCAACGGATAGTTATAGTACCTGTATAGCGTAGCAGTGTTTCCAACGGATAGCTATAGTACCTGTATAGCGTAGCAGTGTTTCCAACAGATAGCTATAGTACCTGTATAGTGTAGCAGTGTTTCCAACGGATAGCTATAGTACCTGTATAGTGTAGCAGTGTTTCCAACGGATAGCTATAGTACCTGTATAGCGTAGCAGTGTTTCCAACAGATAGCTATAGTACCTGTATAGTGTAGCAGTGTTTCCAACGGATAGTTATAGTACCTGTATAGTGTAGCAGTGTTTCCAACGGATAGCTATAGTACCTGTATAGCGTAGCAGTGTTTCCAACAGATAGCTATAGTACCTGTATAGTGTAGCAGTGTTTCCAACGGATAGCTATAGTACCTGTATAGTGTAGCAGTGTTTCCAACAGATAGTTATAGTACCTGTATAGCGTAGCAGTGTTTCCAACGGATAGCTATAGAACCTGTATAGCGTAGCAGTGTTTCCAACAGATAGCTATAGTACCTGTTTAGCGTAGCAGTGTTTCCAACGGATAGTTATAGTACCTGTATAGTGTAGCAGTGTTTCCGTAACTGCCTCAAGACTTGCAGGGAAGCAGAGTTTTTGGCCTCTGTCTTGCTATCTCCCAGCCCAACTGCCAAAACTTTGCGGTTGGACTTTATGATACATTTCTTGAATGGTTCTTTTCTTCCCCTGTAAATCAGTTCAACATTTTGAGTCCTTTAAGAAACCAGAACACTTTGGAAGATTCAAAGAGGAAAAAAAGTCAGTAACCTTAACTAACTTGGTAAGATACTATTTGAAACTATGATTATAATATTTATATTGGTATTTAAGTAGATGGTAAGAATTGTTGTCAGGATAGCCAGTTTCTGAATGGAAAAGGGTTCACATCCAAATACGAAAGATTCTACACTATACACAATAATTCTACTATTTTATTGTCATTGGCATTAATTAATATTATTTTAAATCAAAATGGGTTAATGTTAGGAACAAATTATATCATAAAATATAATTTAATTTTAAGTGTTGGCAAAATGAAGTTGATTAATTTATAAATTAGTGTATAACTCTGTAAAATAAAAAGGAAATCGAGTAAACTGTTGTAAAAATATTTTAAATATATAAAAAAAACTTTTAAGCGAACACAAATTTACAAAAAGTAATACACCTTACCACACATTTTCTTCTGATTCTTCAATCAGCAGCTCTCCGAATTTGGACATTTTGAAAGACTCTAATAAAATCTGGAAGATATTCTTAACCCAAACACTGTTCTTGCGGATGCCTATCCATATGATGAGTCCAGGGAAATCACCACCGGTGTCTTCTGGGTAGTCAACTTTGTCAACCTGAAAAATTTAGATTTATTTTAAAATTATAATCTTGACATATTTGCATTAGTAAGGGTTAGGAATACTAAAAGTATTCTTAACTTACTAATACAATTATTAAAAAATAAAACTACCTGAAAAAGATTAATGTATTTATCTTTTATAACCATCCAAAATTTTGACAAGCACCATCTAAATAGTATCCGTTAATTTATTACTTTTTCACCCAAATTTTGAATAGTATTAATCTAATGAATACTAATTTAGATAATTTTTGGTAAAAAAAATTATTTTCCAAATAGATGATTTTATGTTGCTTCTGATGTATGTGTTGTGCAATTAAAGGGGTTTCGTCAGCAAAACTTATTTTATATCTGCATAGCTACATTACAGAGACACAATATGCAAATGTGTTTACAATATCAAAGAAAAAAAAACCAATGCTATGATTTGTGAGCAGATGTAATAATATTAGTTTCTCAAACCTTAAATTTCTTCAGTTTGATTGTTATCTTGTTGCTGTCAAGGTCAATTTCCTCTGCAGTATCAGTTGAGGGAGGTTCTACTGGCTGTTTTCTTTTCTCAACCACTTTTGCGGGAGACGCTTTCACTGAACTTGGAGCTTGGGGTTTCCCTGTTTCTGTGGACAAAATAAAAAAACTGATGAGTAAAATAAAATTGTAGTAATAAATTGTTTTATTTTGCATTATATACATTTCAGACAAAAATATTCCTAATATCTTAAACAATAGACTACTGACTATTGACATACAATAAACTACATGAGGCTGTACATATGAATTTCTATAAAAACATATTTGTTTGAGATTTTATTTTTTCTGGCTGAACAAAAATAGTTGATGTATTATTTATTTTATTATTATTGCCCTTTAAATAATTAATTAGGAATCTTCAGATTCATACACTTCATCTATAAAACATTGTTTCCAATCCAAACTCATTCAAAGTAATTTGATTAGCGTTGAACTACATAAAAAGATGTTAAGACACGGATCACGATTAATTTTCACATAAATTTTTTCAAACTTCAATCATGCTTCAATAGTTATCTGTGCAACTAGTGAGCAAAATGGTACTAAATGGTACCCTTGTTTAAAAGAAACACTTTCCACAAAAAAGTAAAATTTTGCAGGTTGTTTGCAGAGGTAGTGGCTGTCTCCAATCATGTTTTTAGACCATACATAATTTAATTACAACATTTGAAGGAAATCTTAGAAGTCATTTTCAAAATCTTTGTGCAAGCGTACATATAAACATACATACAAGCAAACATTGCTCATATAAGAGTATAGGATTGTACAAAGATTGCCACCACCTATTGGTGATATTTGGTTTACCATACCGATCTTGATAAGAAAAATGATTTTCCGTAAAATGGGAAAGCGTTAAAACTCTTAAATAGATTATAAACTGAGCCCTCTCTTAAGAAAACACAATTTTCCGATTCTTGATGTGAAAGAATTTAACCCAAAAAGGTGGATTAGGAACTGAGGTCTCTCTTGGAAATACACAATTCTCCTGTTAGCTTTTGATGTGGATGAGCTTAGCTCACTAGATGGATTAAGGCATGAGTTATCTTTTGGAAACACCCAATGTTTCTTTCTGGTTACTCTTGAAGTGTATGAGCTTAGCTCCACTACATGGATTAATGAAGACATGATGTCTCTCTTGGAAATACAGGATTCTTCATGTTGCTCCGGATGTAGACATGTTTAACTCACTACATGGATTAATGAAGACATGATGTCTCTCTTGGAAATACAGGATTCTTCGTATTGCTCCGGATGTAGACACGTTTAAGTCACTACATGGATTAAGACATGATGTCTCTCTTGGAAATACAGGATTCTTCATGTTGCTCCGGATGTAGACACGTTTAACTCACTACATGGATTAAGGCATGATGTCTCTCCTGAAAATACAGGATTCGTCATGTTGCTCCGGATGTGGACACGTTTGACTCACTACATGGATTAAGACATGATGTCTCTCTTGGAAATACAGGATTCTTCATGTTGCTCCTGATGTGAACATGTTTGACTCACTTCATGGATTAGGCATGATGTCTCTCCTGCAAATACAGGATTCTTCATGTTGCTCCAGATGTGAACATGTTTGACTCACTACATGGATTAAGGCATGATGTCTCTCCTGCAAATACAGGATTCTTCATGTTGCTCCAGATGTGAACATGTTTGACTCACTACATGGATTAGGCATGATGTCTCTCCTGCAAATACAGGATTCTTCATGTTGCTCCGGATGTGAACGTGTTTGACTCACTACATGGATTAAGACATGATGTCTCTCTTGGAAATACAGGATTCTTCATGTTGCTTCTGATGTGAACGTGTTTGACTCACTACATAGATTAGGCATGATGTCTCTCCTGGAAATACAGGATTCTTCATGTTGCTCTGGATGTAGACGCGTTTAACACACTACATGGATTAAGGCATGATGTCTCTCTTGGAAATACAGGATTCTTCATGTTGCTTCGGATGTGGACCCGTCTAACACACTACATGGATTAAGGCATGATGTGTCTCTTGGAAATACAGGATTCCTTATGTTGCTTCGGATGTAGACGCGTTTAACACACTACATGGATTAAGGCATGATGTCTCTCTTGGAAATACAGGATTCTTCATGTTGCTTCGGATGTGGACCCGTTTAACTCACTACATGGATTAAGGCATGATGTGTCTCTTGGAAATACAGGATTCTTCATGTTGCTCTGGATGTAGACGCGTTTAACACACTACATGGATTAAGGCATGATGTCTCTCTTGGAAATACAGGATTCTTCATGTTGCTTCGGATGTGGACTCGTTTAACTCACTACATGGATTAAGGCATGATGTGTCTCTTGGAAATACAGGATTCCTTATGTTGCTTCGGATGTGGACCCTTTTAACTCACTACATGGATTAAGGCATGATGTCTCTCTTGGAAATACTTACTTACTTACTGCAGTGGCTCTTGGTACCCAAGGAGGTACTTTACCTCGCCAACACAACGCCTCCAGATTTCACGATCCATTGCTTCCTCCTCTCTTCTTCCCATTCTTCTCACTTGATCTCTCCACCTCACCTTGGGCTTTCCAGGAGGTCTTCTACCCTCTTCCTTTCTAAACACATGGCCCCTCAATCACCTCAATCTTCTACTTCTCACCTTGGAAATACAGGATTCTTGTTGCTTCGGATGTGGATATGAGCTTCACTACATGGATTAAGGCAAGATGTCTCTCTTGGAAATAGGTACACAATTTTTCGGGTTGCTCTTGAAGTGGATAAGCTTAGCTCACTAGATGGATTAAGGTATAAGGTCTCTTTTATAATTACACAGTTTTGCTGGTTGCTCTTGATATGAACAATTTAACCCACTAGATGCCTAGATGCATTAGGGGCTGAGGTCCCCCTTTGAAACGCACAACATTTTCGTAACTATTAATGTGGAAGAGGTTAAAACCCACTGGATGGATTAAGATATGGTGTCTCTGTTGGTTATACAGGTTTCTTCTGGTTGTTCTTCATGTGGACAAGCTTTGCTCTCTAGATGGGTTGAGGTATAAGGTCACTCTTGTAAATATTGATTTGTCATTCTACTTGTGATTTGGATGAGTTTAACCCACTAGATACATTGAGGTATGTGGGGTCTCGAAAATAACAAAAATCTTCATGTTGTTCTTGATGTGGAAGAGTGTTAATCACTAGATGGATTAAGTTGGGCTCTCTTGAAAATACATGACTTTTTTGTTGCTATTAAAGTGGAAGAAGTTAACTCACTAGATGGATGAGGTCTCACTAGATGGATAAGGTATGAGGTCTCTAGAGGAAATACACATATATTCTGGTTGCTCTTGATGTGGACAAGTTTGGCTCACCAGATGGATTAAGTTATGAGGTCTCTCTTGAAAATACACGATTCTTCATGTTGCTCTTGATGTGGAAGAGTTAAGCCCACTAGATGGAACCAAAAAGATTGATTAAGAGTCTTCTTCACCCCTGCAAAAAACACTAAAAACATGCCTTGGAAGTCCCTTGCTCTTGATGGAATTTGCAAAGATCTAATGTTAAAAAGTGAGACAAGGTGATGGTCTATCGCCATTATTATTTAATATAGCACTAGAAGAAGCTCTCAAGAAAACAAGAAATAGTGAAGGAGGGGCAAGACTTACTGATAAAATAAACCTTCTAGCATTCGCAGATGATGTAGCCATTGTAGCTGAAAACAAAAATAATCTCAAAGTGCTAACAGAAGTACTAATTAAAGAAGCAAGAAAAGTGGGTTTACAAATAAATGAAAACAAAACCAACTACATGAAAATAAGTAGACAAGATGACGAGGAAGACCACTTAAAAGTATTAAACTATAGGTTCCAGAAAACTAGTATTTTTAAGTATTTGGGAGTGATGATCACAAACAATAATAGAGAAGAAATAGAAATTCAGAGCAGACTCACAGCAGCAGAAAGATCATACTGGAGTTTAATAAAACTATTCAAAAGCAAACTGCTATCAAAAACCACTAAAATAAGAATGTATAAAACTATAGTGCAACCTGTATTGCTATACGGGTCAGAAACTTGGTCTTTTACCAAAAAATTCCAGAAGCGCCTTATTACTTTTGAAAACAAAATTTTGAGAAGAATTTTTGGACCAGTAAAAGAAGGAAATGCATGGAGGATAAGGAAAAATAGAGAGTTAAAAGAATTATATGGTGAACCAGATATTGTGGGAATAGTTAAGAGTAGGAGGTTGAGATGGATGGGCCATATTAACCGTAGAAGTGAGAGAGAGATGGTAAAGATGGTACTCAGAGGTATACCAGAAGGAAGGAGACCATTAGGTAGACCAAGAATGCGATGGGTTGATGAGGTGACGAAGGACTTGAGAGGAATGGGAGCAGACTTGGAGCTGGCAGAGGATAGAAGAGCTTGGAGGCACATGGTTGGCGAGGCCAAAAACCACCTAGGTTTCCAATGGCCACAGGAGTAAGTAAGTAAGTAATGTTAAAACTTGTTCCCCTACAGATAATTTTTGTTTGACTGTGTTCCAAACGGGGAACAAAATTAACATGTTTTGTCGGTGGTGACTGCACTACTAGCCTTTTACAAGACTTTGCTCAGGCAGCAGATGAGTCACCAAAGTGTTGTTTTTAGTAATCGTGTGTTTACGGTGTTTTCAGAATTGCGCGCATAATGATCCCGCGTTACCTGCCCGTCATCACCAGCATTCCCCCCAAGACCATACAGTACCCCCAAAACATAGATACACCAAGACCAACGGTGATGAAGACTCTTAGGGGATGAAGTCTCTCTCGAAAATTCACAATTCTTTATTTTGCTCTTCTCGTGGATGCATTAAACTAGATACATGGATTAAGGTTTAAAGTCTCTCTTGGAAATATCAATTATTCATGTTACTCTTGATTTGGACGAGTTTAACCCACTAGAAATACAAGATTTCTACAAGATAACACCAAAAACACCATCTGTTCAAATTCGTATATATTCATATATTCATGGTGGGATTCAAAAGTAATGAGCCTTTGTTGAGAAACTGGGATTTACTGATCTGATAGATGGGACTAAAAACCTTCAAAATAGGACCCTCCTGTGTCGATACACTTTTGTAGGTAACTGTTCCATATCTTGAAGGGGTCCTAGTAGGCTTGTTCTGGGATGGCAGTAATGACTGCATTGACAGCAGTTTGTATTTCTTGAATTGAGTAAAACCGATGTCATCTCAGGACTGTTTTTAAGCACGGGAGTAAAAGAAGTCAGGGGGAGACATGTCTTGGCTGTAGGAAGAAATTTAGGATCGTTATCGCACATTTAAATCAGTTCTTGACATCTGAGCACTCGCATTTCTTTCTGTTTGTCAGTCAAGAGCCTGAGGACAAGCTTGATGCACACTCTCAGCAAGGGCAGATCCTCCGAATGTGTTGCACCGTGGTCTCTGAGAAGGTTGAGGCGTCTGCAATTTAAAAAAGACTTAACCGACAGTCTGTATTAAAAAATTTGCACACACGCTTCACGTTTTCATCCGTTAGGGCTGTTGATGGGCGTCCAGGATGAGGCTCATCGCCGAGATCTTCTTGGCCCTCCTGTAAAAACCTTGTTCCACTTTTTAAATGAGAAATTGAGAGACTCTCATTCCCAAAGGAAAGCATGGCAAACGGTTTCGAAGGTGTCTTGCGCAACAGGAGGCAAATTTGATTGCTTGTCGTTTTTCTAGAGAACTTCTCTATTTCGCCGTGTCATGGATCAACAGACAGAGGTTTACGTTATGCTTGCTCCTACCACTCTGAGAGTTCGGAGGCAGTTGCCGCTTGTTGCTAGGCAAAGCAAACACCCTGCCCAGCCAAGGGAGACGTAGCAAACCGCCGATTGCAGTTCCATCAGGAAAAAACAAGGCTCATTACTTTTGAATCCCACTCTGTATGTGTGTCCGTTTGCACGATAACTCAAGCAAAAATCATCAGATTATGATTAATGTAAACCCACGTTTTGAATGAGTTAGCAAACCAGCATGATCGGACCATGGAAACCGGGTTTTAAGGGGGGGTTTTACAGGGTGAAAATTGTTTTTTTGCTCTTTTGACCCTCAAAACATAAAATTTTCTAATTTTTCTCCAAACCATTTTCAAGAGCTAAAAAAAATCCTAGGTTTACAATAAAATAAAGCTAATCTATATTATTAATACGCTTCATGATACTTTTTGAACAATAAGACTTTTTTGTTATTAGATTTTATACCAAAATATTCGTCTAGGTGTGTAGATTTGCAAACTGACCTTGGTGACTTTACATTTTTGAAAAAGTCCCCTGGGCTTCTCCCCAATGGCTTTTCAAGTTCCCATGTCATCCTTATGAAGAACATATTTGTTTACATTATGATCAGCTGGATGATTTAATTGCTGTTAATATTTTAGTTACAATTTTAGGAAACAAGTGCTATAAACATTTACTGACTTGGTTAAAATGAAATATTTACTATTTGAATTTGGGTTGATGTAAATATTACAATGGAAAAAAAGCAAGAAAGCCTGGAAAATTTGATATACTAAAAAGAAAACTGAATTAACACTGTGCTGCATTTCTTGAGCAATCATTGAAAGAGCCGATTTTTAAACTATGGAAACATACGAAAGTCATAGAACACCGCCAAGTAGAAGGAATAGAAAAAATGTTCTTTTAGCAAATTTTTCTATAGGGAAGTAGCTATTGTAGGTGGCACGGTAAGACCTAGACCCGGGACCGATTTACTTTTTCATTTTGATGTCCCCAGAGGCCAAAAACACCATTCGTTCAAATTTTTATATATATATATACGTCCGTGAACGCGATAACTTGAGTAATTTTTGTCCGATTTTGATGAAATTTGGTTTAAAGGTGTAAAGCGAGATAAACTTGAATGAGTTCGCTAACCAGCACGATCGGATGATGAGAACGGGGCTTTCCGGGGGATTTATGGGGTACAAATTGGTTTTTCTCACTTTTGACCCTCAAAACACAAAATTTTCCGATTTCTCTTTAGACCTTTTTAAAGAGCTTAAAAAAACAAATAATTTAGTATATAAAAGTATTTTTGTTCGATTATTGGTAACGGAGAAAATTAAAGAAATTGTAAATTTAAAATTCCCATGTTATTCTTATGGAGAATAATGTCAAATGTTGTAGTTTGCTTGTTTATCGATATATTTTGATCAAACTTGGCAAATTTATTTATTTTGTACTAAGCTATCAATATTTTACTCAAAAACACACTTTATTAGTTTCTTTGTAGCAGCTAACCTAGGTACTCGTTAAACCTAATGTTATTAAAATATATTTAACTAATAAACTAAACAGACAAATGGAAATTCGCTTAGTCGGCAGGTTTGCTGCGGCGGGGGTATTTTTTTAAATTTATAATCGTTTTTATGGACAATCTAATGTGGCTATGAGAGGAAAACATTTGTAGAAAACACTAAAAAACAAGGTCAGCTTTTGAAAAATATAAGATATTTACAATAATTGTTGATTATATTGAACTGTTATGTACATCGTGAGTTCTTTGAGTCGACTCTTTTAAAGTCATCGGAAACTAAGACTGTTATTCGTTTTAAAATGACACCTGTAATACTTCACAACTGCTTGAATTTGAGCAACAGGTCAGGTACACTAGTGCTATTTAAATAGATTTAAGTGAAAATCTAATCAGACAAATGGAAATTCGCTTAGTTTGCAGGTTTACTGTGGCGGGGGTATTCATGTAGCTCTTACATGGCCACCTTTAACTCCAGGCCTGGTAGAATTGGCAACGTTGCAAGTAGTGTTGATTAGCGCTAGACGTCCTATAAGATAACATGGCAGACAGGTGACACTACCTCATCAATTCACGTAAATTTAAATTTTTGAACAAAAATGTATTAAAAGATTGTAAATGAAACATAGAGTTGGAAACCAAACAATATTTAAATTGAAAATCTATTTTTATATATTTAAAGTGGAGTCAATATTTTCATAGCCCAGAAACCAAGCTTTTATATTATTAAAAAATACAAAAATACCATTAGCTGCCTCCAAAACAAAACAGCTGTTACAACCCTATTTTCGATGTTGCCACTTCTAAGGCCGCGGCCTGGAGTTAAAGGTGGCCGTCCTCTTACTCTCACACACAAATGGCATGGTTCAAGTTGCTTTAAGTTGGTAGGTCCAAGACCAAAGGGCTAAAGTGTATCATTTGGTGACGTGTAGCTCTGTTTCAGTTGGTGATTAGTACTTCTTTCTGTAGCTCTCAATGTCAGAGTCTACATCCGATCAACAAGTTGACTAAGGAGGTATCACTGTCAATGTTGAAGTGGATCAATGTTGAAGTGGTTCTTCATTTGCTTTGGACACCAGGAAGATCTTGAAGATACTCAATTAGTTTGGGGCTGGAGTGTTTCAGTTGGTGATTAGTACTTCTTTCTGCAGCTCTCATACTCAGAATCGACATCCGATCAACAAGTTGACTGAGGAGATTAGATATCAATGTCAATGTTGAAGTGGTTCTTCATGTTGCCTTGGACATCAGGAAGATCTTGAAGTTACTCAATTAGTCTGGGGCTGGAGTGTTTCAGTTGGTGATTAGTACTTCTTTCTGCAGCTCTCAATGTCAGGATCGACATCCGATCAACAAGTTGACTGAGGAGATTAGATATCAATGTCAATGTTGAAGTGGTTCTTCATGTTGCTTTGGACATCAGGAAGATCTTGAAGTTACTCAATTAGTCTGGGGCTGGAGTGTTTCAGTTGGTGATTAGTACTTCTTTCTGCAGCTCTCAATGTCAGGATCGACATCCGATCAACAAGTTGACTGAGGAGATTAGATATCAATGTCAATGTTGAAGTGGTTCTTCATGTTGCCTTGGACATCAGGAAGATCTTGAAGTTACTCAATAAGTCTGGGGCTGGAGTGTTTCAGTTGGTGATTAGTACTTCTTTCTGTAGCTCTCAATGTCAGGATCGACATCCGATCAACAAGTTGACTGAGGAGATTAGATATCAATGTCAATGTTGAAGTGGTTCTTCATGTTGCCTTGGATATCAGGAAGATCTTGAAGTTACTCAATTAGTCTGGGGCTGGAGTGTTTCAGTTGGTGATTAGTACTTCTTTCTGCAGCTCTCAATGTCAGGATCGACATCCGATCAACAAGTTGACTGAGGAGATTAGATATCAATGTCAATGTTGAAGTGGTTCTTCATGTTGCCTTGGACATCAGGAAGATCTTGAAGTTACTCAATAAGTCTGGGGCTGGAGTGTTTCAGTTGGTGATTAGTACTTCTTTCTGTAGCTCTCAATGTCAGGATCGACATCCGATCAACAAGTTGACTGAGGAGATTAGATATCAATGTCAATGTTGAAGTGGTTCTTCATGTTGCCTTGGATATCAGGAAGATCTTGAAGTTACTCAATAAGTCTGGGGCTGGAGTGTTTCAGTTGGTGATTAGTACTTCTTTCTGTAGCTCTCAATGTCAGGATCGACATCCGATCAACAAGTTGACTGAGGAGATTAGATATCAATGTCAATGTTGAAGTGGTTCTTCATGTTGCCTTGGATATCAGGAAGATCTTGAAGTTACTCAATAAGTCTGGGGCTGGAGTGTTTCAGTTGGTGATTAGTACTTCTTTCTGCATCCGATCAACAAGTTGACTGAGGAGATTAGATATCAATGTCAATGTTGAAGTGGTTCTTCATGTTGCCTTGGACATCAGGAAGATCTTGAAGTTACTCAATTAGTCTGGGGCTGGAGTGTTTCAGTTGGTGATTAGTACTTCTTTCTGTAGCTCTCGATGTCAGAATCATCCTCCAATCAACAGGATGGTTATAGATTTAGTCATTAAAAACATACACTTACCTGTGTGTATCATTTTCTTACCCGTTTCTCTCCTACTTCAGCAAGAAACCGATATTCTTTTACTCGGAAGATTATTGTCGGTAGTTTGTAGTTGTCTACAGCACAAAACTGCAGATGCGAGGTTGAAGTTCAATTACATATGACATAATGTTACACATGCAATAAAGTAACATAACCCACCTTTGGAAGTTGGTTTTTCTGACGTCTTCTCATTTATAGGCCTGTAAACAAAGAATTATTAGCATCAAATGTAAAACATGCCGAGTTCCATCCTTAATTTTCTAAATATAATTCAAAGTGTACATGATATTTTAACAGAACAAACAGTGTTAACAGTTACAAACATATTTAAATTTAAATGGATTCAATAAAAGTATAAAATTGATCAACATATTCGTGTTAAACGTCTTAGTTGACAGGACCTTCCTTACTCTTAACTGCAGGTAGTTGACTATTACACTTAGAATACTCTGGAGAATAGTTTAAAATCCAATGGATAATCCATGATTAAGGTATGATAAAAATCTATTTTTCTTTCTTTCTTCCTTTGCTTCTTTATTTTTATCTTCCATGTGCTGCTTATACTTTTGACCCAGAAATCTTCAAATTTTCATTTTCAATACAGCAAAATCAGTAGGCCTACCATCAAAATGGTTTTCTTCCATCTCATTTTAACAGATCTATTCTCATTTTAACAGGTTATACAGCTTAGGCCTAGTACAGTGGCCAGACCTTGGCAGCAAACATACATTGGAAAATTTCAAAGATTTTCTAAATTTTTACAATGTTCTGCAGACTCAACCAAACATCAGATACAAATGGAGCAATACATATGGTTGGCATTTCAGCAATGCCCAAGTGGCAGTTTACTATGATTTGCACATGCACTCGGTTGTCATAGTTGCTCGCGTACTGTGGCTACATTTGTGTTTGAGTTTTGAGCATTTGTTGATGGATCCTTCTGGATTTGATGATGCCATTTTGATTTTATCAACTAAGAAGCATCTGGACATTAGGCATTTTAAACTTGCAGAACATTTTTCATTAGTAAGTAGAATGGAGGAATGCATGTGAGCAAACATTTTCTTACGTGCTGCATCATGGATGCCTTGTTTTGTTGAGTATCGTCCAATTTATCAATCCGTTTATTGAATAAAGAAATGCTCATTTAAAGTAACAAAAAAATCAGATGATGTTCTTTTTAATCTATCAAGGAAAATGTGTCTTTCAAAAGACTAGCACTTACAAGAGTGCGTGGTTCAATATTTTCTTTTCTTGGACGGTGTGAAATAGACTATGATTAGAACTGCAGTTTTTTGTTTAGAATACATCCACTAGCAATGTTGTCTTGGTATAGTTTTATAATTTCAAATTCATTTAACATGTTCAATTTACCACTTTTCCTGCATACTGTAGCAGCTCTAGATTGTCAGCAATCTCACTCATGCTATCGTTTGGGTCAACTAAGTTGATAACTTTCTTGTTGAACCTTTCAATTGAAATCAGTTTATTGTTCTCTTCTATGTTTTAGTCTACCTAGCAACTAAGGAAATGTGTAGCAGCAACAGTGATGCAATTCAATTAAAAAAAATGTTTATATTGGTGCAGACAACATGTGCAGACTGATATTCTAACTACACTAGACGTAAATCGGTAACGCGATGTGGCAGTGACATTTTCAATGAAGGAATCACAATGCTTTTAATTTTAAGGAAAAACGAACCAAACAAATCAAATTTTTGTAGATATGCCAGGGATCACTCATGTCCTGCTCACACCAAAGTCTGAGTCGTTGACCACTACGCTGACAACTCACCCAAATTTAAGTCAAGGAGTTCCTCAGATTGGGTTTGCCCAATCCAGCAAACATTGGTTTTGTTTGGCACAGATAAAACAAAACAGCTATTTCAAACACCATATTTCATACTCTCAGCTGCAAACATCAGATTTCTTTTGCCATTTGCGAAGACACTAGAATTCTTCACTTCTAACCATCAAAATACCTTAAGTCTTCAGCAGACCCTTGGATTTTTCATCCTTCTGCGGTCACCTACATTATTACGATGAACATTCTGCAGGCTCAAATATTTATTACCCTTTTGCTGGGAACAGGTTTCAACCCTTTCTTCAACACCATTATTAGCCTAAAACTCAGTCTTTGTAGAAATACTCTGCAGCAGAAACAACCCACGTCTGACAGTAATAATAGGTTAAATAGCCTATAACACCAAAAAAAGTTAACATTTAGTGTGAAATAGTAAAATCTAAACTACATGGACTTTTACAATGGTCTTATTCAGACATATCAAAAACAAACAAAAAAGCCAGAAGCCACTAGATTTACAATGCAAAATAAGATTTGCTAACTGACAAACCACACTGAGTCAATCATCAATCTTTGTTATTATCATTGGTACCTGTTCAATGTTTTTTTTATTTTTATTTGTGTCCTGCTTGTGGTCAGAACCGTTTCTGCACATCACAGCTAACAAACCAATCACAATATATTTCCTCTTAACAGCACCATATGAGTTCCCTAACAAATACACTAACAGTAAAATATCCAGTACGTAGAGCAACCACCAGTAGCAGTTAGGGTATTTTACTAAAAAAGAGTTTTGCACAATCAGAAAAATTGGATTATGGTTCGGGAGATAGTAAAAGTGAAATGTCATCCTCTATCAAAAAGACACCTCAAAATTATAAAGTTAAGTCATTACTAGCACTAATGAACCAAACAAATATTAGACATCAAAATTTATGGCACTGGAACAAAATCCAATGGGGAGGATATCGTAGAGAGAGTGGAGAAGAATACGGTGTCGGATCACTTGATTTTCCAGCGGATGGTTGCCTCAAGGCAGACTGTGTTGGACATCAAGTCCGTCTATAACTCTATGTCTTCCAACATGGAGAAGTTGAATGTGAAATACAAGTTCTGAGCTGAACGACGACGAGTTGAACAAGTTCTGAGATGGACGAGGAGAATGCTGACAAAGAATTGAAGTTTGGCACAGACGGGATCCTGCGTCAAGCAGTGACAGCTGAAGATTTATCACCAAGCGCGGGCGACGAGCTGCTGCTTGTGTTCAATGTTTCTTCATTACGATTCCTTCATTGAAGACAAGGACATCTAGAGTGAGCAGGAGACCAGACACTGGGTAGGAGCTATGTCAGCTGATTTATGTAACGAGACAAAAGTAATGTATTACGACTTACGAGACAGCAACCTGTCACAGTTTCAGGTGAGGGTAGGATTTTGGGATATGCGGGTATGTGTAGTCAGTTTTGAGTTTACTCTCTGTTGATATTGTTGGTTTGCTTTTTTGATGTAGTTGGTGTGGGTTGGGTAGGTTTGGCAGGTTGACGGCAGCAAAACAAAAATTTGTTTCAAGTTTTTCCCTTCTGTCAGACAGTGCTCTATCATTAAAAAAAACACTCGCAATAGGCTTACAACAAAAAATCATTGACAGTCTAACTGAAAACATTCACACACTGTAAGGAAAACACCAACAGCAAAAAAGGTAGAGGAGGAAATCATAGACAAGTATGGAAGAGACTTATCAGCACACTCTAGGGACTAGAGCTATTAAATCAATGGTGATCTCCGACACGACTACTAGTCTTGCGGCCTCTCCTACCCCTCCTCAAGTTCTCCAGATGTCAGCTGATTTACGGTATGACGCGAGCGTCACAGTAGCTTGCCCCAAAGATGAATTTCTGCAGGTGGAGTGTCTGCCAGTGTTTTGCCAGTTTAACGATGCAGCTGTCTCCCGAAGACCAAGATTATACTGTCAGTGTGTTTGACCGTGGTGGCTTAACTTTTAGTTTAAGATCCAGACGCTTTTCATCTGGAACCGAAAGTCCACCAGACAAGTTGAAGGTAGATTTCTCTTCCTCTGAAGAGTTTCCTCTGATGGAGTGACTTTGTCTTTCCTCAAATCTTGGATCCATCTTTCTAATCAGGGTCAATTAAGAGTCCTTGGAGGCTAGTGGCCATCTTGGATAGTTTCAAACAGCTGCTGAAGAGTTATATATCGTCCAAAAATATTTTTTCTAACAACAAAGTGATTATAATTTAAATATACTGTCGTTAAATATACTAGTATACTGTGGTGTTAGAAATGTTCTTTGTAATTTTGAATTGTTCTCCAAGGGAGTCCATGGAAGCTAACGGCCATCTTGGATTTGCCTGCCATAAGAGCAATGTTAATTTTGTTGATTTTAAACAGCCGCTGAAGAGTAATTTACCATCTCAAAGTATTTTTTCAACAGAGTGATTGTAACCTAAATATCTAGCAGACTATAAGATTATAAATTAGAACGTCTCGGCTCCAAGGACTCTTTAAGTGGCAGAGTGTATAGGTTTGTTTGGAGGCTCAGAGAGGAGATTCCCTGACAATGAAGGGGCAGAAGGGGGCGCAAATATCGTTCGGGCCCATAGCACGTCACATGCAAACCGCAGGCCTGTTTCTAATAACTGTACAAAGATGACATGTCTTGCCAACTTTCCTTCAGTTTCCTACAGTCTTACCCAATATGGGACAATGTCTTGGAATTCTTACCTATGTAGCTACCACATTACATACATTAAAATGTTACCGGTATGCAGTATAAGTTTGCCAAAACCTCAAGAGTCTGATTACCAAATAAAATTCTTCACTGACACTTTTCCATTTTGATTACGTTATGTTGATAACGAGGACTGGACGCAGAATTTAAAACTTTACATTTCACTTTTCACTTCTAAGCTGAGAAATTATGTACTTATGTTTAACTAAATGTCTGTTTGAATGGTCTCACAAGGGGTTACCCCTCTTAGCCACATTTCTGCTTAGATAGTCTTCACTAAAGAAGTCCTGACTCACCTTTTTGATGGACCAAAACAAGATGAGATGCACGTGACACAGTCCATAGTTAAAGTTAAAACATACAAATATAGCTACAGGAATCTACAACATTTTGAGCTCTAACCATTACCAGTCTTAATGTAAATATTTTTTACAAAACACACAATTGGCTTTGAATAACATTGAGGAGAAATGAAAGAATACACAACTACAACAACAGTAAAATGATTCACAAATGTTGCAATATTTCAAATGATGACAAAGACAAATAAAGACTAAGGTTTATGTTTATTGACCATTTAAGTATTATAAGTACTGATTAATGACTATTGTTTAATATAGTTAGTTGTTATCATACTCTTGATGGTAGCATTTCATTTTGAAGTTTAAAAAATAAATTACCAATTGTGTTGAATAATAACAAATCATTTTGCAAAACTAAAATAAAGAAAATAACTAGGCTATCGAATTATTTAGAAAAACGCATACATTAAAATGAAGCCTCTTTATAGGAATTTACGATTGTATGATCTGAAAGACTTTTAAATCTAACACAGTGAATTAATTCCTTACTTAACATAAACAATCCTACTTTAAAAGCTGTCAACATAATTGTTAGTAAAGCTAATATATATAAAGCAAATTAATGTGAAGCTTGAAGAGGTAAAAAAATTAATTATATTTGTACTCACTCTGCCTTAGGGGGTAGTATCAGCTTGTATTTCGGATTCTCTCCTCCGTTCTTCAGTAGATGGTCCTTCAGCTCCTCTGGTTTAACAGTTTGATAAACCGCCATGTGGGTCCAGGGATTTTGGTTATTTGTTGTAAAGTAGCGGTGACTCAAGTTCTTGGCTTTTAAGTACCTATAAATTGAGTTTTTAGCTGAATAAATATAAGTATATATTTCATGATGTTGTTTCTATACAATAAGGGAATATACAGTCAAACTAAATTAAAAGTTGTTTTGTAAAAATAGAGGTTGAGGGAGATGAGATGGATATTTATTTGTCATATTGATTATATTGTAGTAGTAAAAATATGTTTTTCAAATACTGCTAAACATTTTGCAATATCAAGAGCAGTTATACATTTCAAAATTATAAAAATTATGAAAATGTAAACTCTACAAGCCCATATCAAAGGATGAGTTATTGCTATATCATTATAAAAATCCATCCGCCTGGTTTCCTTAATGTGCATGTTATATATTTTTCATACAGCAGCTACTTTTCAGTGTTAAATATTTTAAGGAGAGCCACAGCGACACAGATAGCTTTTGATTAAGTTAAATAAAGAATATTAACCGAAGTACAAATCCAGAGTTTGTGGTAGGAAAATCTTTTGACGGAACATAAATACTTGTTAAAAATATTCAATATCTATATATTAATAGGCAAGCATGCTTCTTAAAAACCTTTTTCCTCAGCTTGTGTGCATCACAGGGGAAATCTATGCATACTGTTATAAAGATATTTTCCTGTAGATGTGCAGAATTCCCTCATAAATTAAAAAGGCTCAAAAATAAGCACAAAAAAATTAATTCAAAATTTTAAAAATTAACAATTAATCTTGGCCTTATGGGTTGCTATGCAGGTGACAAAATAACAGCAAAATATAGAAAGAAAATATAAAATCAAAACAAATCCGGAATAAATTCCAATCACATGTTTTATTTACAGCTTTGTGTGAAAATAGACAAGTCTGTACTGTAGGCCTAAAACTAAAATATAATAACTAAAATTATATCAAGATACTTCGTTGGTGAACACCGACATACCACTAAACAATTCTAATATGTTCATGAAATAGTTAATAATTTGAATGTTTACAACCCAACAATCAAAACCACCTGGTTTTGTAAACACCGATGTCAGCTGAAGATAGCAAAGAAAATAACAGATACTGTATTAAATCTGCTTCAATGTTTGGATTCCCAAAACTCTGACCTTGAGGCAGTTTTTACGTAATTTTTAGTACTTTTAATGCAGTAATAACCTTATTGGTTACATAATTTTAAAGGGCATGAAATGCGGAAGTTTTTTAAGAAATTTTATAAAACATAACATTAGTGTAGTTGTAACACCACTTTGAAGTTGTAAAGAAGTAATTAAAAAACTTCTTTATTTATGTTATGTGAGACATACAACGGTGGAAATATGTATGTTAAAGGTGTTGCAATAATTTTGTAGGAAATTTAACGCTCTTTTCATTGGTGTAGATTATAATGCTGTACGTGTATTGGTTTGATTTCTATGCTCATTTTAGTAAGCCACTACAATTAATTTTTTTTTTAAATACACATAATCAGCCATTACAGCTTAACGGATGGGGTTGGAAACGTTTTATTAGACATTTTTTGTTCCTTTTAGTGAGTAAAATAACTGGTAAAAATTAATGCACTTAGTAGAAACTAGAAACTCACCCTGTATATATATACACACACACACACAAGTATTACAATCAATTTGATTCTTTTTGAATCCAGAAATCACTATTTGCACACCCCAAAGATATATGAACAAGTGAAATTGTATCAAAAAATACTATTTCGAACAAAACATAAAAAGATTTTTATTTCATGTATAACAAATTTGAAATAATGGCTATTTATTTACTTACACAGCAATTTCATTTTTGAGCTCCCAGGTAAAGTCAGGACCAAATATAATTTCTCCGTGAGATTGGCTACGAGCAAACTCATCGATAGTTTGGAATATGGTGTAATAGCTTGGCAGGTCTTTTCTGCGTACCAACCTGTTAAAAGAAGGAAACAAACAATCCCCAAACTTAGGTTCTTCCATCATAAACAGAATTATAAAATTAATTGTAAAAGTAAAATGATAAACCCTGTTACACAATTGTATTTTTGCGTTATAGTACTTTATGCAACGATCGCGTTAACACTATTTACGTGAGTTGCGTGCACTACTTTACCTACGACTGGTTTTTAACCACTACTCAAAACTTCTAAGAGAGGTTATGTTTTTGTTTATAACGTCTCATTTCCAATCACATTGATGCAACGACTCATTGTACCAATCACTAATTGCACGAATCGTTAACAATGACATTGGTAAACAGCTAATTAGCTGAAGTTTGAAGAATTGCAATTTTACTTCTTCTCTCTCAATCCTTGAAACTCATTGGTCCATTACCCGTGTTGTTAAGTAAAACTATGGTGTTATGTAAGTAAACAATGCTGTTATGTGACAATTTTCAATACTGAACTGAAACGGCTACTTTAAAACGGTTGTAGGTTAATTCATTAAAGATCCAGAAAAGTTTGGATGGATACATAATGTTGAATTGCAAGTTTTGATGTATGTTATTTTTACCATACTGCTTGCTTGTCCTTAAGAAATACTTGTTTCAGGTTAAGTAAAACTTAGTTTACAAAGCTTAGTCCTATTATTATAGGTTTTATAAAAATAAATTAATCCCTGTTCTGTGTCCTACCTGAAGAAGTCGTTTTTACTTTGGTCAGAGTCCTCTAAGAATTGAGGCACCTTCCCATCACAAAAGTATTCTTCTTTTGCCTGAAAAATCAATTATTAGACTACAAAAATAATTTAATATAGATAATTACAAGACAAATAAATCTAAATTTACAGATATTGCTAAAAATTTTGATTCTTTCAATAAATATGTTGGATAAAAATATATGTCATTATTAGACTTAATGAAAATTGATACTTAGTAACAAAAAATGTAAATGGTTTTATGGCTATTGTTCCAAGAACCAAGTAAACCATAAATGATTGTTAGATTGTTTTTCTGTAGTTTGTATTTTTCACCAAAGAAAATATTTTAGCTCTAAAGTTGGTTTTCTACAGAAAACTTGGGTCCTAAATGGCCGCAATTTAGAAATTTTGAATAGGATCAAAATGTTTTTTTTTTTTTTATTACATGGGTTGCTTCTACCTTCACAAAGTATAATACAAAGTTTCATGGAGATCAGTTGGAACAACCCAAATGTTTTTGTGAAAAATACAAAATGGTAAATATCTGGCTAACAAAACAATTTTTGAAAAATGTTATTCTTGATTTTCTCTTTATTTTGACTCATAGAACCAATCCCCAAAGTTTGGCTGGTTACTTACGGGACACCCTGTATATAAAATATAGGTAATTAAAAAAACTTGACAATTTGTTTAACATCATGTTACTGTATTTTATTTATTACATATTTTAAGTTTTAAAGAGGAAGTGTTGAGGCAAATGTAGAATTAAAGGCATAGCCTAAACCCCATACAACTGAGGGCAGTTTTGATAAATAAGTTTTTTTTAACCATATCCAACCTGTATAATATATGTGAATGGTTCCAGTTTAGTTATTATTTGTAGAGTAGCAGCAGTTTTGGCTTGAGTCTCCGTCAGTCCCTCAGCAGAAGCTAATACTATATCCTTCCACTTGAAAACACACCTCCTACAATCAGATTACATGATTGGATTAAATCATTATAAACCATAAATAAAACTACATAGCCATCATGCAGCTCTAGTTGCCTGAATATTTATTTTTAAATTAAATAAATGTTACTAATTATTTAAATGAAAAAATCAGCAAACAACTTTTAGAAGAGTAGGGAGAATCTATTCTTATGAAACAAACATAAATTATATTTCATATCTGGAACAAGATATGAGAGAATGACAGGAGATAAGAAAAAGACTTGGAAAAAAGGTCAGTAGGCAGATAAAACAAGACTGGTTCAGAAAGGAAGGAATAAATATTTGTAACAAATTTTTAGAAGTATCAGCTTGAGAAAAATGGATGAAGAACTAACTTTAGTGGACCAAAGGAAGACCACAAAACAAAAAGCATAGAGTAAGGAAAACCTATTGACATAAAGGAAACGCCTCCTAAATCAGGTGATATAAACAGATTAAAATCATGTAACATACTGTCATTGCAGCTAAACTAGTTTTTAGTTGCCTGGTTAGGTTTGTAATTTAAGCCCGTCTTAACCAAGGAAATTCTACTGATCTATACATAAAATAAGTGTCAAATTCAAAAACACTGATTGAACTGATAACATTAAACAGTGATGGATATTTTTCAATAACAAAGTGAATTATCAATTATATTAATTTGGATATTTACGTCCTGAGAGGTTTGATGTTTTCACTGGTCACTTCTAAAGGTCCAAACTTAGAGAGTTTGAAGGACTCACACAACGCTGTAAACCAATCATCTTTGTCTATTTCACTTGTCTTGTTTGCATCATAAAACAGAACAAACCCATCCAGCAGTTTTTCTAAATCTTTTTCATCACCTTTGGCTGACTTAAGATTTTCTTTTTCAGAAACCTTGTTTCCAGAAGTCTTATTTCTGTCAGTAAAATCCTTATTTCTCCCAGGTGCATTCTCTTCAATCTTCTTCTCTTTATTTACATTCTCTATATTTTTAGGTTCATTTCGTTGTGTTACTTCCTGTCTTTGGTTTGTTTCTTTTTTATTATCCATTTTCACTGTCGGTGGAATATTTTGACTGGGTTGCTTCTCTTCTGGCCTGCTAGTCTCTTTCGGGGTTTCGACTACAACAAATTTAATAAAACATGTTAACATAAAGACCATTTACTAATAATATACATTAAGAACAACTAATTTTAAGGTACAATTAATTGGGGATTACACAGAAGACCATACATTAGTGAGGTATAGAAAGGAACAATGACCTTTGCAGTCAAATTGAATTGAATACTTCATAATATTTTCGAATATCGAATATTACTTAGCGAATATTTATGTTTATAGACTCCAAAGAGTTTCCATTCACAGCTTTGGGACTCTACTAAGGTTAATAATCATTAATCAATGACATGTTCCTTCTTTCTTAATGCCTAGCCCTGCCCTAGTTAATAATTTCAAAAACAAAACATGTACTAAATAGTGATTCAGACTATGAGAAAAAGGATTTATCCTGAAAGTTATCCTTTATGTTTTACAAAAGGAATTACATACCAACTCAAGTAAAATTGGCATGACAATTTAATACAAAATGTGTTCAAAATATTGTTTAGGCAAAATTAATTGTTTATCTCATTTGTCTAATTCTTATTCCCTCAGTTTCCAAAACTTTAATATGGAATGCAGTGGGCACTTAATTATTTTACAAACTCAGTTATTGGACACTGTGCTAAAAGTCTGTCATTGACCTTTGTAACTTGGGTACTGAAATTGAATGATTTGTGTTGTGACACCAGTCTAGCACTGTTGCAGTCATGATTTCCAGTTTGGTATTGCCGTCCTACAGTGTTCAGTACCTAATAAACAGTGTGAAGAACAGTAACAAGACTGAGCTCTGCTTGATTAATTGTCAGTTGGAGGAACTAATGCACAAGTTCTGAGCACTACTGCTTATAGCAGACATATAAGAGTGTAGATTTACAAGATTTCTGTCCCAATAGCATTTTAAAAGTATTTAAATTCCGTCCAAAATGTTTCTAGATTTTATGATTTTGAACATTGAGTGTGAATGTAATTCCTTGTCTAATCAATAAATGTGAATGCTGAGTTTTTTGTCCCACCATTATTTTAGGACGCTTGACTTTAACCATAGACAAAAAAAAAAGAAGATGAAGTGGCACATCCACAAGTCAATATTGACATTTGTATTTAAAGAAAAATGTGTAATAGGCAAATTTATTCATTCTTACCAATATTTGTTCTTAAAACTTCACGAACATTGGGGTCACTAGATCCTGGCCGCCTGCTGAAAAAAACAATGAATTGACATTATTTTATATGATAAATATATAGACTTATGATTAAATAGGAATTTACGACTAATAGTAAGGTACCAAATTTTAAGGGGGGTAAAAACGTACTGTGCGTACCGGTAAACAAATACTAGAACTTACCAATTTGCATCCACAATAACCAACACCTGGGTCTATGTGTTAGCCGTAGATTAACACTAATACTGAAACCCTACCCAGGCTGACGCTAACCAAAACCCCCGGTCTGTGAGACCCCATTTGAAAATAATGGACCACGCTTAGAAACACACAAACCGAAACCCTGTGAGACCCGAATTGCCTGTGAGACCCTGCTTTAAAATACACTAATGCTGGGCTTCTGAGACGGACATGTTATGAACAGACAAGCTGTCAAGGTCACGGTACCTACGCAAAATGAACAAACAATATATCAACAGTTAGAAAGGAAAAGGGGAGAAGGTATTGGGGGAACCAGTGTTGCCAACATTTGTTTGAGAAAATTCCCATGGGCTTGTCAGACCGGGGTTTCGGTAAAAGTGTTAAGCTATATGCAAAGAAACGTAGGCCTAGGCTCAAACACAATAAAGTATAAACACACACTCGAACGATATATTTATTTATAATAACACTTTAAATTATGAAATCAAACAAACCAACCAGATTCCTTTTTGATCAGCTGATGGAAAATTTTAATTTCGCCAGAAGGACATAATCCTTGTTTAGATGGAGAACTTAACAAAAACAAAATACACTCTAGAACCAATTACATTTTGTTTATGGAATGAATGGAAACTTACTGTTTACCCGGAGAGACCAGCCTGTAGCGATCGTTGTCACCACCAGATTGTACCAGCCAATGCCGCAACTCTTCGCCAGAACGAATTTGATAAACAAATACATAAGATTCACTTGTGTTCTTAACTCCAGATTTGGACAATGTTCTATAAGTTAGCTTTGTACACCAGGATTTGTCAATATACCTGAAAAAATAAAACCTTGATGTTTTTTTTTTATTTTTCATAATTTTTTTTTGTTTCTTACTGGTTTCAAATAGTTATTTTCAGCTGAAGCCTGTAAATAATACATAAAAATACCCATATTCGTTAAAAGTTAGATAAAGTTACAAATTACTTACTGACCAGTCCCACAAGGTAGCAGCTTGAGAAAGGCACATGTGGTGTGCAACCTAGCCTAATTGACAAATCAAAGTAAAAAAGTATATTATATATTTGAGTTGGTTCACTATTTGGCTGCTTGAATGGTGCACTACCCATGTACACTATGAATATTGGTCTTAGTGCTCTTATCAGCTACCACAATTAAGTCAACTACCGTTCATTGAGTCAACTGTTCTAAAACTTAAAGGTACGGTTACACCAAAGCGAACAGGAGCGAGCGAGCAGTAACGAATGCGAAATTCACTTCGGTGTGACCAGCACCTCGAGCGACATCAAACACCAATCGGCCGTGTTCGGTAGTGCTTGGTAGTCGCATATTCACGTTCGCACCTGCTCCATCCATTGTCGGTTTTAGCGCGAATGTTCAAAGGAAATTCGCGTTCACTTGAGTTCGGTGCTCGCTTCAGTGTGACCACATCGGAGTGACTCCAGTCTGGTCCTTGCCGGTGTCTACATTACTGCTATCAACAAGTTGTTTAGGTCAGAGTTTGTTTTTTTGTTGTACAGTAGACTCTCGCTCATCCGGACTAATGTGGCGGACGTCCGGTCCGGATTACGAAAAATCCGGACTATTGAGAGTCGAGCAAATACACAATACTCTATATAGCCGTTTTTTCAATTTAGTTCCAGGTCCACAGTAATGATAGCCGGGCATATGCACTTCCACCGGTAATAATTTTTTTGTCCGAATTTTGTTCAAGGTCCACAGTAATGATAGCCCGGGCATATGCACTTCCACCAGTAATAATCTTTACCGCCGTGATATCCGATTTTTTTCATTATTCAAGGTAGTCTCGGTCCCGTTTCGCTTGGATAATCGGACTTCTACTGTACTGTGCCGCTAAAAAAAAATCACGATTGCTGATCCGGACTACCGGGAGTCCGGACAAGCCGATTCGGATGAGCGAGAGTCTACTGTACTACAATTAATTATTCCTATTTTGTTTCCATGGAGTGGACTGATGACAAAGTGTTGGAGCTGATTGAAGAACACAAAGCAAGGCCAGTGTTATGGGATCCTAGTAGTGCTGACTATAAACTTTTAAATACAAAATTAACAGTTTTTTAATTAAATAGTTAGTCTGTTTAAGAACTGCACGGTGCCGATAATAATAATAATAATAAATCTTTATTGTCATTTGGTAATATAAACATTACAATAGACAAGGTCAACATGTTTTGTTACATATGTTATATAAAATATTAAATAGGCTACAGAAAATGTTAAAATAAAGTTAAAAGAATCTTAAAAGGATAAAGCATCAGTAATAATAAAAAACTTTGAAATTAACAGGGAAAAAACCATAACAAGAACAAAGAATCATCAAGACTGCTTGGCCTCACATTTAAGAGTTGAAAAATCTACATTTTGCAAAAACTCCTTGACTGAATAAAAAGCACAACTTGTAAGCCAATCTGATTATTTTGACTAGGGATGGACGAGATTGGATTTTTAGTTCGAGACGAGACGAGACGAGATTTTTTATTTCTCATAAAATTTCGAGACGAGATCGAGACGGGATTTCCCTTCTCATACGCAACGGGAAATGCACGTTCAAAATTTTTACCTGATTTTGTAACATTGTTAGATGACTGTTTAAATACAAAAATAATGATAATAGGCAAGAATATTTACAATCTTTTATTAAAAAACATCAGCATAACATTTTTTTATTAATCACGCCTAACTTATTAAAAATGCCTACAATTAGGAAACATAGTGATATCAGTTAGGATAGAGTTCAACTTATCCTAAAATAAAATAAATCATAAAATAAAGCAATATTAATTTTTATAAAATAGTTACTTGTTTTGACTTTTTATAGTAATAAAACACTCCTCACACTGCTTACACTTAACAAAACTTCTCAAATGTTATTAAAATAATTAAAGTAATATTTACATTTAAAGAATTACTTAAATAAGAACGCCTTCGCAAAGGAAACGCAACTACAACACGCTCCTGTATTGCGGGTATTGCATTGACTTTCTGCAGGCGTTTTGAATTTTTTTTTTTTTTTTTTTTTTTTTTTTTATTCTCGTCTCGATAAAAATCTCGGCCAAAAAGAAATCTCGTCTCGTGTAACGAGATTTAAAATTTCCCGAAAATTTCCCGAAATTTCGAGACTTGACCATCCCTAATTTTGACCTATACAAATTAATACTTTCCTGATTTCTAAAATATATTGGAAGTTTATAAAATAGTTTTATTTGCAAATATTTATAACTTTTGATAAATTTTGTTAGCCTGGCTTGAGGAATATATAAATCTTTTGATTGTCTGGTGATATACTAGGGATGGTCAAGTCTCGAAATTTCGGGAAATTTTCGGGAAATTTTAAGTCTCGTTACACGAGACGAGATTTCTTTTTGGCTGAGATTTTTATCGAGACGAGAATTAAAAAAAAAATTCTTCAAATGTAAATATTACTTTAATTATTTTAATAACATTTGAGAAGTTTTGTTAAGTGTTAGCAGTGTGAGGAATGTTTTATTACTATAAAAAAAGTCAAAACCAGTAACTATTTTATAAAAATTAATATTTTATTTTATGATTTATTTTATTTTAGGATAAGTTTAACTCTATCCTAACTGATATTACTATGTTTCCTAATCGTAGGCATTTTTAATAAGTTAGGCGTGATTAATAAAAAAATGTTATGCTGATGTTTTTTAATAACAGATTGTAAATATTCTTGCCTATTATCATTATTTTTGTATTTAAACAGTCATCTAACAATGTTACAAAATCAGGTAAAATTTCTGAACGTGCATTTCCCGTTGTGTATGAGAAGGGAAATCCCGTCTCGATCTCGTCTCGAAATTTTATGAGAAATAAAAAATCTCGTCTCGTCTCGTCTCGAACTAAAAATCCAATCTCGTCCATCCCTATGATATACCCATGGATTGAGTTGCAAGGAACAAATTTATTTAGATTCTCTTTAACGGAAACTAAATTGTTAAAAATGAAAATATTAGAGTGTCATGATTCTATTTTCAGCAAAAAATGCTTTTCAACTAACCCTATCTGGAATTTCAAACATAATTCTGAAAACCTTCTTTTGCCATGTAAAGACCCGGTGAGCTCCTGAGCTATTACCCCACAGTATATTGCCATAATTAATTAATTAAATTAATTATAATGGGATTAATGCGGAGCACAAGCGAATTACGTTTCAATCAAGACGATTCGTGTGTGTGTGTGTGACTACTCCCATTCTCAGGTGTTCGCGAATGCTAGCAAACCACAGCGAACACCAGTGAACGTTCGGTTCACTCCTGTTCGCTCTGGTGTAGCTGTACCTTAAGGTTATGATTACAAATTGAATAGGCTGATGTGTGCTCTCAACGACCAAGCGACTTAGTTTGAGAAACAAAAGTATGTACCTTGTTATTTATTTATGCATGTATGTTATAAATTAATTATAATGGGATTAATGCGGAGCACAAGCGAATTACGTTTCAATCAAGACGATTTGTGTGTGTGTGTGACTACTCCCATTCTCAGGTGTTCGCGAATGCTAGCAAACCACAGCGAACACCAGTGAACGTTCGGTTCACTCCTGTTCGCTCTGGTGTAGCTGTACCTTAAGGTTATGATTACAAATTGAATAGGCTGATGTGTGCTCTCAACTCTCTTCCTTAGTTGAAAATGCTGTCAGTGACAGTGAAATATTCTAATGTTTTGTGTATATAGTGTAAAGTTTTGTTTTGTGTTTCCTGTGCTAGTTTGGACTCTTTCCCATTCAGGTAAGCCTGCTATCCTCTCAAAAAATCCTAAAAAATCTATGCTGTGCTCTATGCTACACCCTTAAAGTATGTACCTTGTTATTTATTTATGCATGTGATGCATAATGCAGATGTAATTTATTTGATGTAGGCTACTTAACTTTTATTGATATATGTATTTTTACAACATTATGTAGTTTTTTTAATGACGAGACTGATGGCATGTAATTGTTGAATGGTCAAATAAATTCTTGATTCATGAACACCAGCACCAGTTAAATCAGTGGATATCAGTTTACACAAGTGTTAGTAACTTCAGTAAAAATAAGTAGTCTCGTTCTGTTTACTGCAGCATATTGGATGAAGTTATGGGGCAATTCCAGAATTGCTTGATTTCGATTCCGGTTGATTTCGGTTTTAATTCTCGATTCAGCGCTTGCCGATTCTGTGTTGTGTTACAAAATTTGAAATTTCACTCTTTTCTTAGTTAAACTCTCCTCCTTTAGACTACTAGATTAAAATTGTTGTTCTGAGTGTTTGACCATTGATTTTTTCATGGGTAAAGTCAAAGTAGACATCCTCTTCTAAAATATGACGGGTTTTATTAATGTTGTATCTTGCTTTATGGTAAACTTATGATTTTTGCTCTTTGGTTAAAACGCTATTCGTCAAGCAATACTTTACAGTAACATATTTCTTTAAGTTTTTGTAAAAACTATAACTATGTTGACTTATCTTATAGTTTAAAAACCATAAGCTACATAAATCTGAATATAACTAACTTAAAAATAGTATTCAGCTGATCCGCAAGAATGACAAATCCATAAGGAGTGTGTTCAATCTATAAAGGTTTGTAAGTGGGACAGTCACTCAAAAATAATCCACTTACTCCATCAGCTGTTTTTTCTCTTGGTTGCTAAAGTCCATGCTGAAGATGACCTCAGCGAAGGAGTCAGAGTTGGCGAAAGTGTCAATGTAACTGATGATCTCTGCCACCGCCTTGAACTGGGACCTCTGTAAAACCCTGAAACATGTACAGCACATTGTAAATGTATCCCAAAACAGACAAGTCAAGAAAGTGTATATGTAACTGATGATCTCTGCCATCGCCTTGAACTGGGACATCTGTAAAACCTTGAAACATGTACAGCACATTGTAAATGTATCCCAAAACAGACAAGTCAATAAAGTGTATATGTAACTGATGATCTCTGCCATCGCCTTGAACTGGGACCTCTGTAAAACCCTGAAACATGTACAGCACATTGTAAATGTATCCCAAAACAGACAAGTCAATAAAGTGTATATGTAACTGATGATCTCTGCCATCGCCTTGAACTGGGACCTCTGTAAAACCCTGAAACATGTACAGCACATTGTAAATGTATCCCAAAACAGACAAGTCAAGAAAGTGTATATGTAATTGATGATCTCTGCCATCGCCTTGAACTGGGACATCTGTAAAACCCTGAAACATGTACAGCACATTGTAAATGTATCCCAAAACAGACAAGCCAAGAAAGTGTCAATGTAACTGATGATCTCTGCCACCGCCTTGAACTGGGACCTCTGTAAAACCCTGAAACATGTACAGCACATTGTAAATGTATCCCAAAACAGACAAGTCAAGAAAGTGTCAATGTAACTGATGATCACTGCCACCGCCTTGAACTGGGACCTCTGTAAAACCCTAAAACATGTACAGCACATTGTAAATGTATCCCAAAACAGACAAGTCAAGAAAGTGTTAATGTAACTGATGATCTCTGCCATCGCCTTGAACTGGGACATCTGTAAAACCCTGAAACATGTACCGCACATTGTAAATGTATCCCAAAACAGACAAGTCAAGAAAGTGTCAATGTAACTGATGATCACTGCCACCGCCTTGAACTGGGACATCTGTAAAACCCTGAAACATGTACAGCACATTGTAAATGTATCCGAAAACAGACAAGTCAAGAAAGTGTATATGTAACTGATGATCACTGCCACCGCCTTGAACTGGGACATCTGTAAAACCCTGAAACATGTACAGCACATTGTAAATGTATTCCAAAACAGACAAGTCAAGAAAGTGTATATGTAACTGATGATCACTGCCACCGCCTTGAACTGGGACATCTGTAAAACCCTGAAACATGTACAGCACATTGTAAATGTATTCCAAAACAGACAAGTCAAGAAAGTGTCAATGTAACTGATGATCTCTACCATCGCCTTGAACTGGGACATCTGTAAAACCCTGAAACATGTACAGCACATTGTAAATGTATCCCAAAACAGACAAGTCAAGAAAGTGTCAATGTAACTGATGATCTCTACCATCGCCTTGAACTGGGACATCTGTAAAACCCTGAAACATGTATAGTCCAGTCATTGAATGATCCAAAAGTAGGTGTAGAGTGCGTGAGCAGGTAACTAAGCGATTCCTTCAGAAACTTGTTCAGGGGGCTTAGGGTGTTAACATACCAAAAGTCCTGACTCCTAGGTGGTGAGCCAGGGGGTGGAGGGGGAAAAAAGGGGGGGGAAGGTACGCATTTTGGGTTTTTTGATTATATCTCGAAAACTATCAACTTTTTGTATACTATAGTAAATTATAAAATTGAAGAAGATTAAATTTTCTACAATAAAAGTATATAATGTGTTTATTTTGGTTCAACAGATTACGAGTTATAACTTATTTAATTGATATCTTATTAAAATACTCCTTCCATAAGAAATACATGTAAATTAGTATGCGAAATGGGGCGAATCCTATCCGCCCAAAGGAAATATAACTGATATTCTGGAAATCTTGACAAAATTTCCAGTAATTTGACACTTTAATAATGAAATTTTGTCAAAAATTAAAGCGAGGGTGAGCGTTTAAAAATGGGATGATTTAAGGTTTTTTTTATATTTCCAATAAAAAAACACCAAATCTCGACATTTTGTTACCTCGCCCTCGCCTTAATTTTGGATCAATGTTAATGATTAAAGTGTCAAATTACTGGAAATTTTGTCAAGATTTCCAGAATATCATTAATATTTCCTTTGGGCGGATAGGATTCGCCCCATTTCGCATACTAATTTACATGTATTTCTTATGGAAGGAGTATTTTAATAAGATATCAATTAAATAAGTTATAACTCGTAATCTGTTGAACCAAAATAAACACATTATATACTTTTCTTGTAGAAAATTTAATCTTCTTCAATTTTATAATTTACTATAGTATACAAAAAGTTGATAGTTTTCGAGATATAATCAAAAAACCCAAAATGCGTACCTTTTTCCCCCCCTTTTTCCCCCCTCCACCCCCTGGCTCACCACCTAGGAGTCAGGACTTTTGGTATGTTAACACCCTAAGCCCCCTGAACAAGTTTCTGAAGGAATCGCTTAGTTACCTGCTCACGCACTCTACACCTCATTCCTTGACTGGACTAGTACAGCACATTGTAAATGTATTCCAAAACAGACAAGTCAAGAAAGTGTCAATGTAACTGATGATCTCTACCATCGCCTTGAACTGGGACATCTGTAAAACCCTGAAACATGTACAGCACATTGTAAATGTATTCCAAAACAGACAAGTCAAGAAAGTGTATATGTAACTGATGATCACTGCCACCGCCTTGAACTGGGACATCTGTAAAACCCTGAAACATGTACAGCACATTGTAAATGTATCCCAAAACAGACAAGTCAAGAAAGTGTCAATGTAACTGATGATCTCTACCATCGCCTTGAACTGGGACATCTGTAAAACCCTGAAACATGTACAGCACATTGTAAATGTATTCCAAAACAGACAAGTCAAGAAAGTGTATATGTAACTGATGATCACTGCCACCGCCTTGAACTGGGACATCTGTAAAACCCTGAAACATGTACAGCACATTGTAAATGTATTCCAAAACAGACAAGTCAAGAAAGTGTCAATGTAACTGATGATCTCTACCATCGCCTTGAACTGGGACATCTGTAAAACCCTGAAACATGTACAGCACATTGTAAATGTATTCCAAAACAGACAAGTCAAGAAAGTGTCAATGTAACTGATGATCTCTACCATCGCCTTGAACTGGGACATCTGTAAAACCCTGAAACATGTACAGCACATTGTAAATGTATTCCAAAACAGACAAGTCAAGAAAGTGTCAATGTAACTGATGATCTCTACCATCGCCTTGAACTGGGACATCTGTAAAACCCTGAAACATGTACAGCACATTGTAAATGTATTCCAAAACAGACAAGTCAAGAAAGTGTCAATGTAACTGATGATCTCTGCCACCGCCTTGAACTGGGACATCTGTAAAACCCTGAAACATGTACAGCACATTGTAAATGTATCCCAAAACAGACAAGTCAAGAAAGTGTCAATGTAACTGATGATCTCTGTCACCTCCTTGAACTGGGACCTCTGTAAAACCCTGAAACATGTACATCACTATGTAAATGTATTCCAAAAGAGAGACATGTCGATAAAGAATTAGCGTGTTAGGACAAATTACTTACCTATAAATATGGTTTTTCCTGGGGTTCGGGTTCTCGAATCTCTCCGACAATATACCATCCCTATAGTAACTCCATTTGGCCTGAAACAAAATAAATCAATTGGTCAAGTTCAGTTATTTCTAAACAGATATAAATTGTCATAGTAATTATTTCTTAATTGTTTTGTTGTTAACAGTGAGGTTATAGAGGACTTAAAAATACCTTATTATTTGTTTATAGGAGGATCCAAACGATCTTGTTTTAATCGAGTTCTTTCGAAGACTTAAAAAATAGTTTTCAATGCAAAAGAACTTTTAATGGAATACAATACTTTTTTTTAATGAAATGATGATACTTGGAGGGCGTTTTTTGTAGGATTAGGTCTTTTAGGAAAGTTTATTGTAAAAAGGTGTACAAAAGAGTTATTTTTGGAAAAAAAGATTTTTTTTTGTTTTGTTTTTGTATTTTTAGAAAGGACTTCAAAGACCTTTTAGAGGAGGGTTTTTTTTAAAGACAGCAATCGTTTAAAAGACATCATGGGAGCCTTATTAGTAGATAAATGACAAACTTCCCTCACCTCAATTCCTATAGAGAAGTCTGACAACTTGCTTAACACTGCTTGTGCTAATCTGGTTTTCAATCCATTTTCATTCTCTCCAACAGCCTCTGCCAGCACCACGTTACGCCACTTCAGAGCCAATCGTCTAGAAACATGTTACAAATTTAGATTTCAACTGTTGGAAAGGGATTTGACTCAAACAATCAAACAACAATCCTACAGCCCTATTAAAGAAACATATACAAGTACTATTACTTTAATAAAGTCAATATTATGACCCAGGAGCAATTCAACATTGTTTGTGATAGATGCCTAAAACAAATACCTTTGTAGATAATAATGTAATATTGTACTAAATGTACCTAGAAATAGACTGTACAAGAAATAACCTTCAGCTCTTATGAATGCTTGAGAATTGTGTAGTAATTAAAATAAAAAAGAATCAGAATAAAAAAAGAATCATATCCAAAACACAGGGATCTGGCTGGCATATTAGTTAAAATGCAGGACATCTGTCAAATTCTGGTCTTAGTAATGTGGTAGTGCTGATATCGGGTAGTTTGGGACAATTTAACAGGTTTAACAGGTACCGGCCGTCACACTGCTCTGTATGTCGCCGAGACACCCGTAAGTGTTAAGCTGTAGGTCTACTTGACTACCAAAAAAAACAGGAAATGTCTTTCCTGATAGTAGTGCTAAGAAAACTTGTTTTGTTATTAGAGAAAACTTGAAGGCATACAGTAATTTTAATTTTTTTGCCAATTTTTTAGACAAACTGTCAGGAAACTTAAACTAATATACTTACATAGGAAACACATTATTATTCGTGTTCTGTTTGTCCCAGTGGCAAGGTCCAAACTTTGATCGCTTGAAAGACTCTTCCAGTATACTGACTTTATTATAATTCAATGTGCTGTTTCTCTGGATATCGTAGATAATAACAAAGCCTTTGAACAATTCTTTCATCTGCTCTTTCATCAACAAGTTTGCTATTATGTTTCTATCCACTTGTGTGTCCCAGATAGACGAAGATTTGTCCAGCTCCTTCATGACTTTGCCAGATAGACTTTCAGAGCCAGGCTCCGCTACACATAAAAAACACAAACTATAATCCCATATTGACAAACTAGATTGAACAACAGTGCTGTCTCCAACAAACATTCTGGTAAACCAATGAATATAACTAAATATAACTGAATATAACTAATTTAAATTCATTTAAAAAATGTTTGAAATTATTTCTCACCAACAGACCCTTGTATAAATTAGAAGATTTTTTCCAACTTCCTGAAATTAGATTTTTTTGATAGTAACAATATTCTCTGTAAGTAGTCTTAAGTTTAATATTGTGTTTTATAACTGACTCCATTCTGTACAAAATGTGCAATATGAATAAAGTTATTTTGATTGATTGATTGAATATAAACATCATAAGAAGCAAATATGTGACGTAAATTTCCTGACGACAAAATGTAGAATGGTAACGTAGGAAATTACGTCACCTTAATGATACAAAGACCCAGGAATCGCAAGAGTCGGGTTGCGGGGATTTTCCCAGGAGTTGAAAGTGATTAGGATAGCCTTAGTGTTGATAGCCTCGGTTATCAGTGCTCAGAACAAATCTAGCGGGTTACCAGACACTACACTTTTAATCACTGCTCTAGTCAGGGGAGTTTGTGAGGAATCGATAATTCTGATGGGACTCTTTGGGTAATAACTACTTGACACTCTACTAGCTACTTAACTAGACAAATAGTAAACTAATTAGTCACCCCGCTTACAGAGTTAAGGTAAAAGTATTAACCTGAAACAGACAAAGGTTAGCTGAAGATAGGCCTAGCCTAAGTCCCACAGAGTCTGAAATTACTAAAAAAATAAGTTGGCTCAAGTTATCTGTGAGAAACTGAACGAGGGAAAAAAATATATACAAAAAATAAAACGGTTCCTTGAGCTTAAAACGAAAACTAAAACTTGTACTTTCTCACATGGGCACTTGAGCAAACTTATGCCAAACTAGGCACGACGAAACCTGTCTGCTGGGACAAACTTAGAGATGGTCAAACGAAGTTTGAAATATTTAAAAAATCAAAAAGAAGGTCCCAAAGACAGGTTAAGAAACGTTAATCGAGAACAAGAGTCACTACCTTATATTTCCCACTAAACTAGTTGGTTACAACGACAAATATCGAAATTCTTTACTCGAAGGGAAGCCGGTCGGAGTCAGAATAGTGGTTTTCTTCTCCTCGGCTCAGGGTCGCGTCGTTGACGTCATACTCACCCCTAATTGGTCAGAGGTTACAAAGAAAAAAAAAAGAAAAAAAACAAAGCCTAACACTCGAGGGAAGTCGTAAGACAAACTCGGGAAGTTAGGAAGAAGTAAAACCGAAGCAGACGGCGCTATCCAAAAAAACAGAGATGCAGTTTTACTTCCTCTCTCCCGGTCGTCTGTCGTTGCACCTGTCACCTCGGATTGGTTTCGAGGTTATGTTAGAACGATGACTAGACTTTCACAACAGCCCACAACTGGCTGTTTAACTTTCATGGAAGTAACAAAATGTAATTACAGACAGTTCGAAATAACTATCCTTTAATTAGGCCTACCAATATTTTACCCCTCCCCCCCCCCCGTTACACCCCCTCCACACTACAGGACAAAAAAGACAAAGAGCGGACGAAGTCAGGTAGGAAGCAGACAGCCTGTGGCTGAGTTGCCTCAGAGGTCACAACGAAGAAGAGAAAGGAAGGGGAAAAGGAAACTGGAAGGGTAGAGGTAACGGAAGAACGAAACTCGGGCGGAAATGGAGGGATTAAGGGCGATGGAAGGGCGGGCAAGAAAACCAAGAAGACAAACCTATCACCCCCCGGTGGAGGGGGTTAATCAGTCGGGTCGATTCACACCACCGTAGAGGTGGTTACAAGGAGCCAGCAGGCCCACTACAACTGCTCAAGGCAGTTGGGGTCAAATGGCTCAGCGGGGTTGAAACCGTCGCCTCAGCTCCGGCAGCCGGCCCCGGACGACTCGCAGCACCTGGCTCGGCCGGAGCCGCACATATCGGTCGGCCCCCAGCATAATCCTCCACCGCTTGTTTCTTCTCTGCTCCGGCGTCAGTTGGTTGTAGGCGGCTGCCAGCCGAAGGAGGACGGCCCGTGACAGTGGAAGGTCATTCCCGGCGACGATCTCGTCGGTCTCCGTCCGGCGAACGGGGAATCTGGCCGGACTCCTTGGCAGCGCCAGCTCCCAGATGATGGGGGTAGGTCGGCGGCGCGCTGGGTTTGATGCGGCACCCTCCGGTGCTTCCTCCCATCGTTGACGGCAAGGAGGGGAAGCTCGACGAGGACGTTCAGGGAGGCGGCGAGGTCGCAAAACGGGGCGGGGACGAGGCGGCGCAGCAGGGCTGGGGCGATGACAGGGCAACGAGGCGGGGCGGAGACGGTGACGGGGCGGCGCAGCAGGGCCACGACGGCGACGGGGCGGCGAGGCGGGGCGGAGACGGTGACGGGGCGGCGCAGCGGGGTAAGGGCGTTGACGGGATGGAGAGACAGGACAAGGACGTTGATTGGCCGGAGAGACAGGGGGAGGGCGTTGACAGGGCGGAGAGACAAGGCAAGGTTGTTGACGGGGCGAAGCAAATCGGGCCCGGCGGCAAGGCGGCGAAGCTGGAAGATGGCCGCCAACCTGCTGGGGTTCCACCGCAGGGGATGGCGGTTGTTCCTCCTGCGGGAGATGCATTGCCGCCGGTGAAGGTGATCGGGACCGGATCTCCTCGACTTCGAGGTCCGAGCAATCGAGCAATCGCGCAATCCAGGCCCAGTTGGCCCCCAGGAAGTCCTCGATCTCCCGGTCCAACTCCATATCTTCAGGCTCGAGGTTATCTCGGTCCGGCGTCGGCGGGCGGGGGTCGGAAGACATCTCACCTACCCAACAGAACAAGCACTCAGCACCAAGCGGGATCATGCACTATAAGCTTAGGATACGTTAAAGGTACAAGCTACAGGTGAAGCGGCTTACAGCAGGAGCATAAAGCGTCACTACGGCAACATGCTGTAACATACACCTCTAGTCATACGCGTTACTTAGTAGTACTTAGTACTTAGTAGTACTTAGTACTTAGTAGTACTTAGTACTTAGTAGTACTTAGTACTTAGTACTTAGTTTAGTAGTACTTAGTAGTACTCAGTAGTAGTAGTAGTAGTAGTTAGTACTTAGTACTTACCTTACTTAGTAGCCAAAGCGAGGCCCCACCCCAAATTACCACTAAACACGTGCGCAAAACGGTTTTAAATCATTTGCGTGGACAACGTGCACCATTGAGGAATCCTCATCCCGCACCTCGTAAAGGTTAACTTGACGACCGATCACAGTGCAGGGGCCGTGATATTTTGACGCTAACTTTCCCACGATGGCGTCGGCAGCCAAGGATAGGTCATGGAGCCTTCTCATCACAGGCGTGCCAATCTTGTGCGTCACCTCCCTACGTCGGAGGTTATATATGTTATATATGTTGATTTTACTTGAGGAAACTCATCCAATAGTTTACTGTGCGTCTCACTTAATGAGGGACACCTCAAACGAAGAACCACGGACGGCCCGGGGAGGCTTCAGTTGTTGTCCTAAACATAGCATCGCCGGAGTAAAACCAGTAGAGTCGTGGACAGCGGTGTTGAGGGCGTACTGAAATTCCACCAGGTGGTTTTCCCAGGACCTATGATTGCCTCTCACGAATTGCGCAATCATAGTCTTCACCACCCGGTTTTGCCTCTCGACTGGGTTCGACTGGGGGCTGTAGGGGGCCGTCGTCTGTAGAGTGATGCCCCACTCAGCAGCTAACTCTCGAACCAGTTTACCAACGAACTGCATGCCGTTGTCTGTAATCAACACATCCGGAGCTCCATATCGAAGTAGGATAGCCTTCTTTCTAGGATGGTCACCACATTCTTTGCGGTTGCAGACGCAATGGAGGCGACTTCTGTCCATTTGCTGAAGGTATCCTGCACCACAATCAGAAATCGCTGACCCCGTTGTGATCTAGGCAATGGGCCTACCAGGTCAGCAGGGACTGCGTACCACGGTCCTTGGGGTTGTCGGAAGTACATTTTCTCAGCTGGTTTCATATGGGGTACTTTATAGGCCTGGCATTGGGCCCAAGACCGTACATAGGCCTTCACCTCACGACACCAGTTAGACCAAAAGTACTCCCCACCAACTCGGGCTAACGTCTTCTTCACCCCAAGATGTCCTGCCGTAGCTGTGTCGTGGTTTTCATGCAGTACCACAGAAACTTGGTCGCTTGATACACACACCCTCCATGTCGTAGGTAGATCCTTCCTCGAGACAGCACGATACAGCTTACAGTTGCGAAGCTTATATCTCACTCATCACCCTCACTCATGTCACTCACCCTGAGTAACGACCAGGGTGTTTGCTGACCAGATTGCGAAGACGGTCATACCAAGCACCGTGGCTGCCCGGCGGGTTACCATCGTTGTCAACGTCGGATGACGGGTCGTCAGTCTCCTGCGCTGCAGGATCAGGAGCTTCGAGACCATAGCCTTCGAGATAAATAAATAAATAAAAACATCTTTATTAGACGTTAGCCATTAGTATTAGAGATAAGCCTTGAATTTCCGAACAACCCACACCAGAGCGAGACCCTCCTTTTCAGTGCTCGTGTAGTTCCGTTCGGCCTCAGAGAGTAGCCTACTGGCATACGCAACGACCACTTCTCGGTCGTTTATACTCTGAGTGAGCGCTGCTCCCGGGCTATAATTTGAGGCGTCGACCTGGAGTACGAAGGGTTGGCTTAAGTCGGGTCAGGCGAGGATCGGGGCCGTCACCAAGGCATGTTTCAGAGCAAAATGTCAATGTTAAAAAAATTTTTGAAATTTTAAAAGCAGCCTCAGGAAAATTTTGTTTACAGATTATTTATGGGAAATTCTATATATACATTTTGTAGACAATCTAATTCCCTACATAGAAATATATAACATGTTAGTTAGGAAAATATTTTTTTTTATAAATTTTTGGTGCGAAATATAATAACAAACGTAGAACCAAAAAAATTGAAAACCGTACGTACAGTGTTAGTTTGTGTTGTAAAAAGTTGTGTATACTAATAATGATATATATTCATGTTTTTAAATTGTATAAAAAGGAGGATAGCAGCTAGCTTACCTTGAAAGTGTGGGTAGGCCATAGAATAAGTATAAAAACACTGTGCACACAATATTTCGTCCGCTAAGGGACTTTGTCAAATGTAGAGAAAGGGTTTATAAATTACGAAATGGCTGTTGTCAACTATGCAGGGTTGCCACATCTCATTAGTCTATTTACAACTATGTACAAACACACATATTATTTTATATACAAACTAGGCCTATTATGTATTTAGCTAGCTGCTGGGACAGGTTTATCTTAGGTTAAGGTTGGGGGAGTTCTGGAGTTGGTTATATACTGGAATGCCAGTTCCCACCTTCTTAACATGGAAGGGTTGCATTCATCCTTTGGAAGTGATTTTATTACTTTAGTTGTGAAGCAACTATCAAAGTCCATGTTGTGATTGTTGGCATGGATGGCCACAGGTTATTCTTTACTTGTTTTGACATCTTGGCGGTGGCCGTTCATTCTTTCTCTTTCGCCAAGATGTCAAAACGAGTAAAGAAAAACCTGTGGCCATCAAATATATTCAAATTTGATCGGTGTTTATTCAAATTGTTGTCAGATAAATGCTGCTACAAGATTGGGGACTTTTTCAATTAGCTATTAGTATGTCAAATCAATAGTTATGTATATCAATGAATAGTTAAGTTTATTCTTGACTTGACACAATTCATGTATATACAAATGTACTGTTTGAATAAAGGACTTTTTTATTTGATTTGATATGGTAGGATCATAAAATGTATGTAACAATATGAGAAAATGAATATAGATATTACGTCTAAGGTTTAAAGAGCTAAATATCAAACACTTTTTTAGACCCATTTTTATTTGGGGGTCCAGCAAATCCCCGCGCTCACTGCAGTGTAAAAAAATGAGTGTGTGTGCTTAAGGAATAATACTTGTGATAGAAGCGACTTGGTCTAGTGGTTAGAGTGCGGGACTTTGGTCCCGGGTTCAAATCCCACCAAATCACCAATGGATTTTATCTAAGTGATAATGCCGCAACCCCTAGGTCTAGCCTGAAGTAATGGGAAATACAATCCCGGGCTCGTGCCTAGTACAAAAAAAAACCCCAACTTAATCCAGGTTGAACTGGAGTTGGTGTATGTCATTTTGGTTTTTGGTTACATAGATGATGAACAAATTTGGCATTGACGAAGGGGTAATGTTATTTCAATGATGTCCTATAATAGGCCTAAATACATTTTCAGTTTTAAAATTGGCCCCAGTTGTGTAGAAAAAGTTGGACATATTAAAACAATTGTTAGAAATATCAAAATTCTTATCATGGCTAGTTCAATCCTCCAAATGCACATATGGGAAGTATTCTGGAAATAACTTACACAAAACGTATTTAGTCATAACAATACATTACACAAACTAAGTTTGGCAACATTGTTGCTAATGAATAAATGTTACTTTAAACTACGGTAATGAGTAAATTTAGGATTTTCACCTACAGGTCTATTAGGTAAACATAAACTTTACACAACTTACTCTGAGGAATGGCTGAAGACTGCAGATGGTCAAACGGATGAACTATCAAACCAGGATGAGCCTTGAGTAAACCATCCAGCACTTCTACAGCCAGAGCATTCACCATGCGTGTAGTTTTGGGATCATAGCTGGGAGTCAAAATTGCACAAAGTAAATTTGAGTAAAAAGAATATAGTTTAAGTTACTAACATTGTTTTTATGCATCAAAATCAAACATAAGTATCGTAATATACGTTGTTGAAGACAATTCTGTGGAATAGGTAAAAAAAGACCTTAAGTATAAACTAAGAACTACAATTTTTGCAAGTTTGATGTTACACTACATGGAAAATTAATTTGATATCACATATCACACATAATCCTTTACTACTGTACTATGCTCTCATGTGTGCTATGTACTAAACTTCCACTACTATTCACATAAGTTTTCCATAGGTCACCTATTTTTTCATAACCACTTTGAACTAGCCTACACTGCTTTTAAATTAATTTCTTAAGTAGCCTACAAGTATTATATTATTTAAAAAAAGTAAAAATCAAACAGGAATCATAAAAAATAGGTATGATAATATTTTCAGATAGAGCAGATATTCTTGGTCTTGTTTAATTAAAAAGCAACAGACAACTTGGAATAATACTAGCCTATATTTAACATGTACTTACCTACTTCCATATACACCCATTTGATAAAAAGCCTCAGTAAGGTGTACCAATTTCTGTTCTGGAAACTTGGATTTGTGTGTTTCCATGAAAGCTTTACACAGATCCCAGTGTTCGGAGTCATAATTGCTCTTATATTTGTTCACGTCCCAAGGGAAATCTGATACTATCCATATTCCAGACATGGTAACTAATAGTTCATCAAGTGCAATCTGAAATCAATGCTGAAACTAATATTCTATAAGTAACAGTCATATCACTACTACAACATAAAACTAACACAATACAGTTTAATGCACAGCATTTTTGAAATTATTATTTATTGTATTTGCAGTACTTTTAACAAAGTGCATAAACAGTCTGGAGATAATATAAAATCAACAACTCGATTCATTTTAACCTAAACTTTACCTTCCTAATCTAACCTAACATCAAAACACTTAATACAGTCACGAGACCGCATAACACCCAACCTACCCACCTCACATGTCTAAATAAGAACTTAAGTAGTTCATAATCAACACTCAGTTGAATTTATAAATGCCTCTACATCTTTGTATAAACTTACTCTTTGTCATACAGTCTAACCTTGATATAACGAACCTCGATACAACGAATTCCTTGATATAGCCTAACGATTTTTTTTTAAATCCCCTAGAACTCTCCATAAGACACAATGTTTATTTTACCTCTACATAACGAACAAACCATAACAACGACCTTGATTTAACGAATTTTTCGTGATTTCGTCTAAAATAAGACACCTCAATATAGCGAATTTATCATTGTCAGAACCTCTACATTGCGAATTTAACCACTGCATAGCGAATTGTCTACGTCTTTCCCTCGATATAACAAATCCCCCACCCCATTATTGTTTTTGAAAAATCTGTTTCTTTATCAAATGAAATGGAAAGGTGACGTCATCGCTTGCGCTAACATTCATCTGCTCCGTTTTACACATCTCTGTCTGCTGTCGCTGCGCACGCTATGTTGCAACTGAGAACTAATTTAATTCACTGAGGACTGATGACGACGTAGGTAATGTTTAGTAAGCTGTGATTGGGCGATAAGTAACTATGGTGAATTGTACAATTTTTGGATAAAGAGAAACCTAAGAAAGAATATAAAAACAAAACCAAAGAGAAAGAATAGCAACATCGTTATTTTTAACATTCCTTTTTCGAGTGTATTTATTATCTTTGAGCTGGCCATGATTATACACTTTTATAATGACTTATTTAATAATTTACTGTATTGTTTTCAATGCAATTTGTTTCAACTAGCAACACCAATGCTATAGTTAATGATTATTATTGACATTCCTCTGTTGTGATAAGTCAGTACCTAGGCCTACTGTACTGTAAGTAGCCTACCGGCCTAACTTATCACGAGCAGTAGCTTACAAAACTTTCTACTACTGTTTTGTTTTGTTCTTTACATGGTTTATGACTACGCAATACAGTGTTTTGCTAGGTTTTAGGAGGGTTAGAACAAGCTGTGATTTTAAACTTACAGTTTTTTAACCTGTACCAAGGTCAATGCCATTTTCATGATTGCGCAATATTCAAGATCCCTCCCCTTTTTTATTCCGGATAGTTTAGGTTCTACTGTACAATGTAAACACTGTACTGTAAAGTATTGTAGCCTATGCAACTTTAATTGTGTTGTAATGATGTCTAATCCCGACCTATATTGACCGACGCTGGTTCTGAACCTCGACTTAGCGAAATTCCTGCATACACAACCTCTATATAACGAACCTCGTTTTAACAAAATCCTTGATATAACGAATATTCAGTTCGGTCCCTTCAGATTCCTTATACTGAGGTTGGACTGTATTAGGTTTCTTCTTCTTCCCTAGACGAAAGACGGTCCTTTCAATTTCAATCGTTCATGTTTGTACCTTCTACAGCACTCTTACTTGACGGAATCCACGCCTCAGTAAAAAAAAATTTGGTTTGAAAGAAAAAAGTTATGCTTTGTGCACCCCTTGTTATTGATTGCACGTTGCATATGGTTTTTTAGGTTATTTTATAACTATAGTATTAATTGTATAGTGTTATTTTACCAAGTTATTGTTAGTTCTTTTTTTTATGTGTATTGTGAAGTGTGAAGAACTTTTATTTTGACAGCAGACAGCTAAGGACTCTATCACGCACAGGTCATTGTGACCCATGTGATATTTTTATTTTTTTGTATTTATTGCTGCAAAACAGTGTGTAATAAATAAAGAATTTTCTCTCTCTCTCTCTCTCTCTCTCTCTCTCATGTTTGTGTTGGTCAGTCAATTCACAGTAAAGTTATGGTTATAGAGACCAACCGACAAGAGGCATTACATTAATAAACTTCAAAAAATCGTAGTAAATTCAGTTTTTGTGGCAGCAGAAAATTTCTTGCACCATTATTTTCAGGTAAAAATCTAGTTTCCAATGATATATAACTTACTATAGAACACTTGGTCACTTTCAAGTAAATAATTACCAAAATGTCCCCCATTTAACCCTAGGAGTGGCGAGACCGATTTTCAGTATGTGCTTTGTGGAGTGGCACGCTCATTTTGGTGAATTTGTAAGGGAGTTCTCCAAAAATCTGTATAAAATTAGTATGTAGAGATAAACTATTGAACCGTATATTCATTTTGTTCGTAATAGTCAGTAGAATTCAAAAATGGTAATAAAAACCAATTTTAGAAAGGTAGATTTTTAGAAAAAAGTAAAAAAAATAAAATTTATAAATTTATCAAATTTTATTTCAAAAGCAAACACGTGTCACATGTAACGTAATTTTTTATTGCACATTTCAAAATATGCATTTTGTTCAGAATTTATTCCTCTACATAGACATATCATAATTTACACAAAAGAATTATTTTTATAGATTTACTAGCAATAATACGGAAAAATTGGAAAACGTCAATTTCTTCAACTACACGTTGATAGATCCACAAATGCCCTCTACTAATATATCAATATGATAAAACCACAAATTTTTTGAAGCCAATAATATCATTCTATATAAGAATAACTAAATAAGATAAGTAATAGAATGTTTGGTTTTCACAAAAGCAAAAATGTAAACAAAACAACTGATCAGCTGTTATAGCCCACAAAACTTCACTGACTTTTTATCCTATTTTGGATCACACATGTATAAATATCTATGCAAAATAATGCATAAATATTTCGCCTAATACAAAATAATAAACTAAAACGAACATTACAATGTAAAATTAGGGATAAACCCACACTTCGTCTTTGTTATCGGACAAAAACTCACGACGACGCCGCCATTTTAGGTTAGACGATGACAAGTGTTCTGTTCCTTTAGCTTTGAAAAATCAAAAGCTTCTATTAGTGTGACCAGCCTAACAACATTGAATTCTACTGTCCTTCGTCTACAAGAGCGTATATAAAACAACGTTTTTGTACTTTTCACATTGTATATATATGCGATTTAGAAATCGACATTTTATGTCGATCCGCCACATGAACAATACGTAAAAATAGGCTATTTACAAAAATTGTTTATCAGCTGTTGGAATGTATTATGACGTTATACTTTATACAGAATAAAAGATTTCTTCATGCTTGTTGCAGTGGTACCACTTGCTTTTGTCAGAGACAAAAATTACGTCTGCTATTTATTTTTGAAATGACTCATCATTTACGATTGCGCAACAAAACATGGCGTTCGCGAGTTCGCGCGTATTTTTCGTTTAAATGTAACTCATTATAAGATCGATATATTTATGTTATAAGGTTCATTCTTATAATAAAATGAAACTACGGAATCTTATCTTTCCATTGGTATAAGAGTTATGTCATTTCACCGACTTTAAATGTGCTTAACATGCAACTGAAAAAAACGTTACATAAATCGACATATTCTGTCGCCCGCCACTCCAGCGGCACATTTTGAAATCGACATTTTCTGTCGGTCTGCCACTCCTAGGGTTAAAGTTTTCTCTAATTCTTACCGTTTCCGATAGGTATCCCAATGGTGGCCTCCTTGAGTCGATCACCCTGTATAATAATCCAGAGTTAAGTTAGGGCCTATGTTGCTATTTCTAATTTTTATGATGGGTGGGTTTAAAAATAATAATATGGTATACCTTTTTGAATTGTAGGTAGAACTAGGATGAAAGTAACTTTATTAACTTAGGCCTACATTTTTCAACCAGGCCTGGGCCTATTCAGTAAATACTTACTTAACTTACACTAAGTTAGTCAAAAATCCCATCTCCACACCCGCGGGCAAGGCGCCTAGAATAAATAGGCCTAAGTTACCTAATTGCCAAGTTAAAATGACAATCTTTAACACTTGTAACTAGGCTAACTTATACACTTTTCAATAAATAGGTAGATAGCGCACTTACTTATTTTGGTACTTCAATATGCCTATGTAAAATATTATCTTCAGTGGGCCTAATAACAAAAATGTATAACCTCACTGTTTGGTATGAAACATAGTTGCATGGTTGTGTAGTAGTAAAAGTAAACGAAACGAACGAGTGGAGTAACGCCTAACGTTGTTTGTTAACGACAACGTAGTACAAAACAAATAAGAAAGAGAGTAAAACAATTAGAATTAATCAAAGTACAAGTAAGTTACAATGGTTACATGTACAAACGCAACACCACAATCATAATTTCATAAACCTTCAGTACAGTACAGTAGTCACTCACCAGTCACCACAGTCCAAACCAAAGTCCAAGTCCATAGACCAAAACCAAACAAACAACACAAACCACAAACCCAATCACAACGGCGAATGGCAACGGCAACAACAACACATGGATGGAACCAATGAAAGGAAAGGAAGTAGAGTAGACTGAAGAAGAGAACAGATTGAGAGTGAAGTGATGGAGTGGGACTGGACTAGCATCTCAGTTTCCCCACCCGCAAATTGATGAGAACCTTTTCTGCAAAAGAGTGGGGGATTGTGGGAGATTTAAGAAAACCAACCAAACTTGCTGATAATATAAAAAAGATATAAAATAAAAATCGAATAAAGGTTTACTTACAATTAATTTTTAATTATAAAATTAATTTTAAAATATTTAATTATAAAATTAAACTGTCATAACCTAGCCTAACCAACCAAGCTTGCTGATAATATAAAAAAGATATAAAATAAAAATCTAATGAAGGTTTACTTATAATTAACTTTTAATTATAAAATTAATTTTAAAATATTTAATTATAGAACTAAACTGTCATAACCTAACCTAACCAACCAAACTTGCTGATAATATAAAAAAGATATAAAATAAAAATCTAATAAAGGTTTACTTTAATATTAATTTAATTACAAAATTAATTTTAAAATTTGTTATTTAAAAAAATAAAATTATAAATGCCTCAAATTCTAACAAAAGATGTACAGTTAAGAAGTGTTCGCAATCTAAGCCAAACCTTGGACAAAAAGTTAGAGTTGCCGGCGGGATTCGAACTGGGGACCTCTAGATCACGAGTCCGACACGCTATCAACTACGCCACGAATCCCAATGGAATCACTTCGTCTCGTTACGGTAATGTTGTTCCCTAAAGAGCAGAGTGACGTCACGCCCCCCACTCCTTCTCTAAAGAGGTTCTCATCAGTCTGCGGGTGCGGAAACCGAGACGCTATAGTGGGACAGAGTGAAGAAGGACTCAAGCACGGCCGCCTTTAACTACAGGCCTGGTAGAATTGGCAACATCGCAAGTGGTGTTGTTCAGTGACATACGTCCCATAAGATAACATGGCAGACAGTTGACATCAGCTCATTAATTCGCACTTTATTGATTTAATTTTTAATTTATGAACATAAATTTATTAAAATATTGAAAATAAAACATACAGAATTGAAAATTGAAACAATAAAATATGAATTAAAATCTATATCTGTACATTTTTAAGCGGAGTCAATATTGTCATAGTCCAGTAATCAATCTTTCGTAAATACACAAATACCATTAGTTGCTTCCAAAAAAATCAGCTGTTTCAACACCACTTGCAACGTTGCCAGTTCGAAGGCCGCGGCCTACTCAAGACTCAATGACGGGACGGAGACGGCTATGCAAGCAAGCATGCAATGACAGGCCTACCAACAAAAGGAAGGAGAAGGTACTGTATCAGAATCAATATTGGATAAAGAAAATATCCCCGCCGCAGCAAACCTGCAAACTAGAAGAATTTCCATTTGCCTGATTGGATTTACACTCAAATGTCTCCTTAAAAAATATCACATTTATTCGCTATTTAAATATAATTACACAGTACTTAGGTTTGGGTTTGCTGCAAAAGGGAGGGTAAACAGTTTTTTGTTTGTTAAATGTTACCTAATAGTTTAGTGAGTGAAAATTTAAGAACGTACCTATGTTCTCAAGAAAAGCACTTTATAATATGTTTATTTTTTCGAAAAATTTTTATTTTTTATTTTATTAACATTTGAAATTTTATCAAATGTCCATGGTAACGCACTATCTTTGGTTTTTTTTTTTTAATAGAACATCTTTATTTTAAAAATACGAAATTCTGTCACAAACATAACAGACGTAAAAATGAATATAAAAAATAGTTAATGTTAAGAATATGTTTTGCTGTAAATACATTTAGTTTTAGGGCCATTTTGCAATAAACAGCTCACTGAGCTTTTGGTATTAATATTTGGTCTTTCTAAAAAAATTTAAAACAAAAAAATTTTAAAAACCTAAAAAATCTCTTTAAGTTGTTGTAACTCCAAACAACCGTTCCTAATATATGAAAAAGCTTCATGTTTTTAAAGAAGCGTCCTTTTTGTGTGTAAAACATTGGAAGTTGATGATATATCAATTTTCAATTTTTTATGATCCAAATCATGAACGTTATGGTCAGGGACAAGTGTTACGGTCTGGAATTGATGATGAAAGAGAATCACTATATTGTTTTTTTAGATAAAGCATAATTTATTTTTAGAACGTAATAGTTTTATTTATAATTATATACAATATAAGCGTTACCTTGTATAAGGCAATAAAAATACTAGTCAGTGCAAACATAGTTCAAAATCTATTTTTTTATGTCCTTCATTTAATTAATTGTACTGTTATAAGAAAAAATTGTGTTGCAATTAAACTAAACTGTGCAATTTACAATGCTGTTAAAATTTATTTTCACGACCAAAACACAGTACAATGGATAAGGCTATTTTGGTCGTGAATAAACCTGTGATGGTCGTGATACCACGGTTGTGAAATCACGTATTATTTGGCTCTTTTTCTGGTGGCAGCCCTACATCTCATGTATGAGGAGGCAAAGTGCATTTCTAGGTTAACGTAGCAATTACAATATAATAAATTAACACCATGTTTAATTCATCAAATAACTACGTACGTGGAAACACAAAAAAACTACAAATTTACCTTTATTAATCTTGTACTTACTTTTTTACTGCTAAACCACCGGCACAACAAAACTAACGCACATCCCGAACCAGTCAACCAGGGAAAACTAACCGGTATCGTCGCCAGGCTTGCCATGTTGTGTTCCAAAGTTGCAAATTTTGCCATTATGGTCCGGACGTCAAATCGAGGGACAGACTTATTTTTCCATGGCAGTCAGTTCGCAATGAAAACAAAATTATTATATACTCCTTTTTTGTAAGTTTAACAACTATTGATTTTGATTACATAAAAATATATTATATATTTCGGCATGAATAATTTGTCTAAAAACAGGGTGAAAGTTGAAAAATGTACCCTAGTACATGTAACCACGTGATGGTCGTGAATTTCGAGACTTTACCAAATAAATATGTGTAACATGTTGCCCCCGTCCCAAAAAATATTAAAACACATATTAATAAACTACAAATACAGTATCTACGAAGTAAAAGGCCAGGAACGTTAATACGTGCGTTTCAAAATCCACTCTAGTAAGATAGACATAGACATAGACATAGACATAGACTTTATTTGCACAAAACATTCCATACATGTCATAACATTTAGAATAGGTGCATTGTCAAAATTAAATCCATACATAAAATATTTAAAATTAAAACTTTTAACTTAAAACTAAACACTTAAAAAAAAAAAAATTCTAAATTGTAGTTCTGTAAAAATCTTCAATTAAGTAAAAAGCCTTGTCAATAAGAAAATTATCTATTGTATCTTTAAATTTGGTTTTGCTTAGTGACTTATAGCATGGCGGAAGCACATTGTACAATCTCAGCCCAGCGTACAATGGAGATTTTTCATATAGGGTCAAACGGTGTCTGGGGAGTCTAAATATATTTTCATTTCGGGTTTCATACCTGTGATTAAAATGTATTGTTTCTGGTAGCTCGTTTTTAACTGAATGTATGTAATTTAATAATTCTAGTATATACAACCCCGTTAATGTATGAATTCTTAAATTTTGAAAATGTTTCTTACAAGAACTGCGTGGATGAGAGTTGGTAATAATACGAATAATACGTTTTTGTAACCTGAATAAAGTTTTAATACCAGTAGCTTGACCCCATAAAATTATGCCATATCTTAACACTGACTCCACATAAGCATGATAAACTACTTTAAGTGTCTCAATAGAAACACAGTCCCTTAAATGTATGAATAAAGATGATATCGACCTAATTTTGTTACGTAAATAATTCAAATGTGAATCCCATTTAACTGCGTCATCTACGTAAACCCCTAAGAATTTATGAGCTTCAACTAAATTAAAGGAACAGTTTTCCATATTTTTGTGTCTAGTAGAAAATTTAATAATATTTGTTTTTTCAACATTAAGTTTTAACCCATTTTCTAAAAACCATTGCTCCATGTCCTTAACCACACTTTGCAGAGAAGAAAACATTTCAGTTGTATTATTATTTTTGATCAAAGCAGTAGTGTCATCGGCAAAAAGAATTAGTTCTTTATTAATAGCTTTTGGAAGATCATTAATGTAAATAAGAAAAAAAAGTGGGCCCAATACTGAGCCTTGGGGAACACCTGTGGATATAATTTCCCATGGTGAATAATGTTTGTTGTTATCTTCTAAAATTAAAGTTCTTTGTTTTCTTTCAGAAAGGTAAGATTGTATTAAAGAAAAGCAACTTCCCCCAATCCCATAATCAATAAGTTTTAGTAACAGGAGTGAGTGATCCACACAATCAAAAGCCTTAGACAGGTCACAGAAAACACCTGCTGTGGCCTGAGACCTGTCCAAGGCCTCTGCAATCTCATTAACAAACTGAGTAAGAGCAGAAACTGTGCTTAAGTTTTTTCGGAAACCAAATTGTTTATTGTAAAATAAATTATTACTTTCAAAATAATTAACTAGTCTATAACTTATTACTTTTTCAAATATTTTAGAAAAATTACTTAATACTGATACTGGACGGTAGTTATTAATATCTGATTTTGAACCTTTCTTAAAAACGGGAGAAATTTGGGAGTACTTGAGTTGATCCGGAAAAATACCATTCTTTAAACACTGATTTATAATAAGAGATAAGGGTTCGGAGATAATGTCAGCAGCAGATTTGATCAATTTAATTGGGATTTCGTCCCAGCCTACCGAAATTTTGTTCTTTAGAGAAAGGATAATCTTTTTTATTTCATCTTTATTAGTGGGGCTAAGATTGCACAATGTAACCCCACCATCACTGCAGTATGATTTTACAGACGAATGAACACCATTGACAGAAGCCTTTTTTACATTCAGATTAATAACTGTATTACAGAAAAAACTGTTAAAAAGCTTAGCTACATCATCAGGATTATCAACAGTGGTTTGGTTTGTATCATCTTTTAAAATAATTTTGTATCTTTGAGTACGGTTTAAACCCAGTTCATTGTTAACAATTTGCCAAGCTGCCTTAGACTTGTTTTCAGATTTTCTAATTAGGTTATTATTTGAGAGAATTTTTGAGTTTTTTACAACTTTTAAATATTTTTTTGTATTGCTTTACATAGGATAAAAACTCTTGGTTTCTACTAAACTTGGCTTCCAAGTGCAATTCTCGTTTCCTCTTACTGGAAATTCTTATACCTTGGGTCACCCAATTCAGAGTAGATTTATTAGTTTTAGCATTCTTTTTTAGTGATTTAACAGGAAATATATGATTGAAAGATAATAAAAAATTTCTCAAAAAACTATTGTAATTTTCATTGGGGTTTAAGGGGTTAAATACAAAATTATTATTAGTGCTCTGTAGATATTTGCAAAATTCATCTGTATTTCTATCAGAGATGATTCTTTTCTTAAAAGAACTAGAAGTATTCTTGATGGTTTTACACTTGGCTAGCTTAGGAAGGTTTATAAATATAGCATTGTGATCAGAAAGACCTAACTCAGTGTTTAACCTGTAATGGCAACTAAACGTTTTGGGTGTGATAAAATTATCCAAACAAGTAAATGAAGTATTTGTTATTCTAAGTTGGCTCCTCAAATTGAAAACAAAAACCATTACATTCGACAATTTCTTTAAATCTACTTGTGAATGTGTCATTTGTTAAAATGTCTATGTTAAAATCTCCAGTTACAAAAACAGTATTTTTTTTGAATTTTTTCTGTATTATCAAAAATAGAATTTCAAGTCTATCTAAAAACTGTTTACTTATGTTGAAATTTGGTACTGTATAAATAGAAATTAAAACTGAATTAAAATCCACAAGTTCAATAGCAGAACATTCAAAAATAAAGTCTTCATTTAAATTGGAAAACTGTGTTATTGTTACATATTTACAGTTCTTATCCACTAATATGCAAGATCCGCCCCTACAGCCACTTTCTCTTATATAAGAACTAGCCAATTTAAAATTATTGATTGTATTTAACAGAGAGGCTGAATTATGATCTAACCAATGTTCATTAAAAGATATAGCTTTAATATTCAAATTGGCCTCAGATAAAAATAAATTGAGAGCTGAAATTTTTGTTAAATTTAAACCTTGACAATTGTAATGCATTATTAAATCACAGTTAGTTGAATAAAAAGATTGATTACATAAACCTTTTAGTTCGTTATTTTGAGCCAGTGAATTTGTTTTGTGCAAAGAATTATCTAAGTTACTTAATTTAGCAGGTACAAGGTCATTGTCAGAATGAATCAGTTTAAAATTAAAGGAGAACTATCATCTATGAATGCATTTTCCAAATTTGATTAAAATATGTTCATAAACAAGCAAACTACAACAGTTTACTTATTCTCTATAAGAATAACATGAGAATTTTAAATTTACAATTTTTTGGAATTTTCTCCGTAACCATTTGGCGCATAATAATGTTTCAACAACATACAGTACTAAATTATTTGTTTTTTTAAGCTCTAAAAAACATTTTGGAAAGAAATTGCTAAATTTTATATTTTTTGGGTCAAACATGGAAAAAACAAATTTTACCTCATAAACCTCCGTTCCCATACTTTGATCATGATATGGTTCGCGAACTCGTTAGAATAAATGTAGGTTTACACGGTTGGTACCAAATACACCAAAATCGGACCATTTTTGTTCGAGTTATCGTGCTAACGGACATTTATATGAATTTGAACGGATGGTGTTTTTGGCCTCTAGGGACCTCAAAACGAAAAAGTAAATCGGTCCCGAGTCCAGGTCTTACCAACAATGAGTACCGGTACTACAGTAATAGCTTATTCCGATAAAATATATCGATTACCATTAGACCTATTTTGTATTTCAACAATAATTGTTATGAATAAACTTAAGATGTAGGCCTACCTTTAGGGACATATTTTCGTGTACTACCCTGCTGACGAGCTTACTACGTTGAACAAATTACTATTTCAACGAACATGTGTGTATATTTACTGAAAGAAATAGTTGCAGAAACATTTTCTAAATAGCTATTGGATATTTGGAATGTCAAAATTAAAATATACCACGCCATAAAAGAGATTTCTTTTACTTCAAACTTCTATTTGTAACTGAAACTGCAGCCAAATATTCAACCTGTTGTAGAAATCAACTAATCCAATTGAAATTGAAGCGACATCAATTTAATTTGGTCTTGCTCTTGCAATCACCATTAATAATTCACAAGGGCAATCCCTGACTATCCCTGGTTTGAATTGATAAAATGCATGCTTTTCACACAGACCGCTGTACGTTGCGTGCTCACGTGTGGTATTTATGTATAGGCTACACCTAATGAAAAGGCACTTTTTCATTATCGTAAACAACAAATTATAAATAATAGTTGTTTAGCGTAGCAATGCAGCGTGTGCCAGGTAAAGCTATAAATAAACTGTAAAGTTTGTTATTAAAATGCGTGTTTCTATTGATAACATTATTACTTTAAAGCCAATTTCAAACAATAGTTTTTTATTTCAGGAGAAAATTTCAAGTAAATTTCATACTCCACACAACCTTGCTTGCAATATTCATCCAATAGCTTAAATGATGAAATAAAATAGAAGTAATTCCTTTTTTACTTGATTTCACTTTTTTATTACATCCACCATAAAGATGCTTTAAGATGCTTATAAATTAAGATAAATTAAACATTTTCTGAGTCCACAACCAGGCCTAAGTTTAACAGAAATCTTAAGAATGCGTAGTTTTGCATTGATATGTTATCAACAATATAGCAGCTAGAACTTTATGCTGTTAATAAAATGTAAATAGTGTTTTGAATCTTACACTCAACCATGTGGTGGTGTTACGTAACATTAAACGACAAGAAATAAGTTAAACTTTGATAACGGTAATTGGTAATTTATAAATACATAAGCTAAATAAATAATTTTGAGTGAACCTATTTATTAAACGATACAAATGAAGTTTACCTTTGATAACTGTAGAAATGGCAAAAAAGTAAATTGTATGGTTTACGGACATCCATGTTAGAAGTGGGTTTTGGTTCAGTGATCTGAAAAAAGATTAATTGAGCTGTCGATGAAGCAGAAAAACTGTCATGTTGGATAGTTAAGGAGCGTCCATCCGTAAAAGTTTGATAGACTTTTAAAATAGCAGTTGGTGCTTTGCCCAAAAAATGATATATCTTTAGGAAAAGAGAGAAAAAAAACTGCACAATGTTTTATTTATCAGACTACAAGAATTTTAATTTTTACAATCGAAAATCGGATGAACAATATAGATCAAAAAGTCATCATGTTCGCTATCCAAAATTAAATTCATTGTTCAGTTATTTGTGCGAGTTATTCGATGAGTATTGTAAGTTCGGTTCTCTACATGGACTCCGATATATCAGAGACCCATCCCTTCCGAGGATAGAACAATTTTTTTGGCTTGGAATATTCCTAACATGTCTTTACATTAGCGGAATCGTTGTGAAAAACACATACTTGACAGGAATGACCAATGAATTTCAACTGGTATACAACCCGAGGATAACACCTATTTGGGATATTCCATTTCCTGCGGTAATAGTGTGTTCTTCATCACCTGTAAGGAAGTCGTTTTTTGATTTAGAAAAGCAGAAAGATGCAAAATTCACATTCTTTAGCAAAATGGTTTGCTTAAATCCATCTCATTTCGCATCAGGAATTTACAATAGTAGTATTGATGAAGAGTTTTTTGAATTCTTAAGTGATGCAGCAACACCTTGCAAGGACATGATTGTCAACTGTTATTGGAAATCAGAGAAAATAGATTGCTGTACTTTATTCAAACCTATAATTACTATGATGGGACAATGCTATATCTTCAACAGTTTGCCCGGAGAAATAATGTATCCATTCTACAATCCTCCACCTGGTGAACAATATAATTTTTACGACAACTTGAAATTTTGGGATGTCGATAACGGCTACCCTAAAAGAGTTAGAGGACATCTTGAAAAAGTTTATCCGTTGTGGACTGATATTGAAGGACCCCTGATGGGGTTAACTATGGATCTCGTTTACCCCAAGGAGGAATTTCAGTTTCAATGCTCTGCAACCCACACTGGGTTCAGAGTTTATGTCTACCCACCAGACAAGAGTCTAGAAACTGAAACATTTATCAGGGTCCCTCTCAATGTACACTCTAATATAAAACTATACCCTACCCAGGTCCGCACTGAAAATTCCCTTAGATCATTGACTATCGATGAGAGGGATTGTGCATTTTTAGACGAGGTACAACTAGAATACTTCAACTTTTACACTCGGTCTTCTTGCATTGTGGAGTGCTTCACCAAAATGTCACTCCAATTATGTAGCTGCGTACCTTTTACATCCAACAGGATAGTGGGGACCTTCGACTATCCCTACTGCAACGACTTATCACTTCACTGTTTATATAAAGTAAGAGATGAATTAGGGATGATTCCATTAAAAGGCAAATCAACACACTTAAATGTAACTGAAAGTTGTTTATGTCCCTTCGGTTGTTCTTGGATAAGTTTTGATTCCCAAACTAACTTTCAAAGACTGACAAACCAGAACTCGTTATTTCCTTGGACAGGTCTCAACAACAACACTGGAAGTAACATTGCTCGAGTGTCAGTTTATTACGGAATCGGCCAGTTCAATACAATAGATCGTCAAAAAACATCAAATATTGACATTACTCTCAGTAACTGTGGAGGACTTCTAGGATTGTTACTTGGATTTAGTTTAATGAGTCTTTATGAAGTACTGTACTATGCTATAGTTCGACCTATAAGAAAAGTTACTGGAATTTTTCTTGCAAATATATGTGAACGGTAGGTCTACTCATTGGTGTACTTTGACTAAGGGTGCGTTTATGTCGGAGCTGCGACTAGCGATAAGAGCAGCGATGCCATTAGAGCCTAGACAATTAGTGCGTGTATTTCAATGGGTCTGTTTACTTTGGAACTGCGCTTTAAATCTCTCTTGGGTCCCGACCAGCGATAGTAGCTGTGACAATGCTTCAGTCCTTTTTCTCAGCTAGTGTCGTTGGTCGTGCAAAGATGGATATTGAAAGTTTAGTGGCGGAAATATTTACGAAATCGGACAAAAACCATCACAACAGGTTCATTGTGATAGAGGTTCGTTTTTTTCACCTAGAGAGAAAAAAATAGTAAACCATGTTTACAAGAAGAACAGAAAGGAATGTTTTATTTGTACAATATGAATCATTTTAAAATCATCAGCTGTTCCAATTAATTCTAAAAAGGCTAAAGAAAAAATATTAGATGAAAGAACTTAACAAATAAGACCATATCAATATTCAAAACCCATTATAAAATGTGGTTTTTGAAAAATTATAACAAAAATGATTGGTTAATCCTTGAATTGTAAAAGCCAATAACGTCTAAGGTCTATTACTTTCTCCCTCTATACAAAGTAGGGCCTATATGGAAAAAGAAGAAAAAACTAAATTTTCTTCTTCAGACTCACTCATCTTCAACCACTTGACACAACGCTACTATCTCAGCTCCAACATAAACACAGTATGAGAGCAGAGAAATAATCACAGCTTGCATCGCTGCTCTTATCGCTAGTCGCAGCTCCGACATAAACACACCCTAAGAAATAGAAATTTAGAAAAAGGCTTTGATAAGACTATGTGTAAAATTCTCTGAAGTTAGACTTAGTTTCTTTTTAAGGAACTTGAAACCAATTCTTGAATCATATTTTTTAAGAAGACAAGTTAAATTATTAGAGGATGGCTAACTAATATAATATTTTTTGGATATTAAAGTATTGTTATAAAATTAAAGGTTATGGAGAAAATTACTGAAAACTGTACATTTAAGATTCCCATGTTAATCTTATGAAGAGAAAGATAACTGTTGTAATTTGCTTGTTTATGGTTATAGGGCTATGTTGATCAATTTTTTAAAATTACGTAGTCTGCAGGTTTGCTGCATTTAAATCAAATAAATTTCGATGCAAAAATAAACGTTACATAAAATGCTTTCTATTATGTCTGAAGGAATATGGTCAGATTTATTCACTATTTAAAAGAGTAACATTATAGATTTAACGAGTATTTAGGTTTGCTACTGTACAAGGAAGCAAAGAGTGTTTTTAATTACAAAAAAATGTTTATAATGTGGTATAGAAGTTTAAAGCATCACAAAATCATACAAATTTATTAAATTTAATTCAATTTCATCACGTAATTTTGAAATAAAGTCCTAATAACTAAACCGGCTGCACCTAACTTTACGTCCTACACTCATTCGAATGAAAATATCGATCGATATATTCATTATTCGATATCGATTAATCTATATCAAATAATCATATTTACGATTATTTTCAATTGATTTTTAATATCGTTTTAAATTATATATCAGCTGCAACTATGATCAGTTAAGTTAGTTTATCTTAAATTTTTAAAAAAACAAAATTAAAAAATATAACAATATAATAGGATAAAAAAACCAAACAAAAACCAAACTACAAATTATAGCCTCATTCATGATACTAAACGTAGTTAAAATATTCCTACTATTGAAAAAATCTTTACTACTTGATCAATCTAGTGTTAGTTTCACGAATGAGAAACTCGTGGTTAGTGATGTTTATACTGAACAAGTAAATTAATGTAAAAATATTTACAAATCCAAAGTGAGAATTTTCAAAAAAGGTGTTTTTCAATACATTTATAGAAAGTGAGTGTGGTTTGAATAATTTCTGAAATCTAAAATTTACCTGATTTTCACCTCGTATTCTAACTTTCATATCTTCGTTACAGATGTCACATTTAGGAGTATCAGGTACTAATCCTTGATCTTGCATCCATTTGAAACAATTTTCAGGATTACTTCAAATACTCTGACTAAATTCTCGATAATTCATGGTGAAGTTCTTTAAAAAATGACTTATACAAACAAAAACAATGAAATAAACAAAAAACCAATGCAATAATTGATGTATAGAATACCGTAATCGAAATAGTGAGTAATCATAATATCGATATCAAATAACCGATATATCGATTGATATTTTCATTCGAATGAGTGTATGACGTAAAGTACAGCCACTAAACCTGCATACACTAAACCATGTATAGTCATCAGTCATGCGACACAGAAATAGCAGGCAATTTTATCGTACGATCGTCCAAATAGAAGATTGGATGGTTGAAAATCAAAGAATCGAGACTCAACTATATATAGTAGGCTATTAAAATTGCTAAATATAGTCAGTCAGTACTTTTAACTCCTGAAGTGATCAATTATTCAAAACAAAATTAAAATATGTTTAGCTATGAAATCTAAGTTTAAAGTTTCAGTTATTACATACAGAAGACAAATTTTAAAGTACCTAAAGTACCTCATTCCAGCAAAAGATAGATTTTTCAGTAAACAGCTCTAGCAATGTTTCAGTTGCAATTGCAAATATATAAAAAATAAACTACAGTACACAATTACTAGAAAAATACCGGTATGGATCATAAACATAAACAAATGACGTTGTTGGCCCGAATCCTATACTAATAGCATTGAACATATGTTTTGGCAGTTCCATTTAAGCAATGTTAAATAATGTTTATTTTCGGGCCAAAAACGTCACTTGTTTATGTTTATGATCCATACCGGTATTTTTCTAGTAATCGTGCTACAGTACCATTTTTAAAGTTTTAGAACATAGCTAGGGTGAAAAGATTTCAGAACAAATATTGTTAATAAAAGGAAGAACAAGAACAACTAAATCTGTAGAAAATATAAGTTTATTAGGTTATAAGTTTATTTAAAATATGTAATCCCTGAAATAATAGTAAATACAAATATAACACATTTTTACACAGTTTTTGTTCAATATGTCATGGTTTTAAGAGAGCAGCAGTTATAACTAATTATTCAGGCTATCGAACTACCAATAGTAAAAATTAACAGTTTTATAGCCTACACACTCTATTATGACTTAAAAATATAACCTTAGCTATTTAACACATGTTTCTTTGTTACATCATTTAATTACTTTTATTTTTTACTAAGGCATATAAAGTGTAAGCTATTTAAAATAGTCAAAATACTAGACTTAGACAATATACAATGGACAAATCTTTATGGTTTGAATGGCACAATGATTTTTATTTTTGAAAAGATCAAGAGTTAACAAAACTCACAAACGACTTACAAAAGAGTAGTTCTATGTGTATATTTCTGGATTGTACGTTAAAAATAATATACTTAAGCCAATCTTTAAAGGTGAATCCCGTGATACTTGTCTGCAACTAAAACACTTTTGACTATTTATCATAACATTCTTGAAATCTATCTCATTAGAATTGCATTATCTTACAAGCTAATTTATCAGAAAATCTACAACAAAAAATAATGAAACAGTCAGTCTGGTAAAATGGATGACTTTCAAACCTTTAAATTTCTAAAATAAGTTTATGTATGTGCTATTAAATGTAGGCCCTATCAATATCAAAAATACAAAATTATCCTACTTGTTCGGTTTCGGACTTTTGGACTAAAATTATTCACCAAGAAATCCTAATAACAATGAATGTATACATTTTTAAAACTCTTCGGCACCAGGAACTAACAAGATAATGGTGTAAAATAATTTATTCTAGCATGGTAGTTTTTACAAGAAATAATCCTTTTTGAAAGTTCTTTACTTCTATGTCTCTAATACAAAACTATGTACATAATCAGGCACTTCAAAATGTAGTGTAGAGAATTCATGAAAATATAAAAAAGTTCAGTTCAGTTTACACTGAAACCCAGATAGTTTTCTTTCATTTCTAAGCTAAGTTAAACTATAAATCCAAGTTTATATTTAGAATTTGTGCCACATAGCCACAACAAAGTTATATTATTCAAATCACAGAACCATTGTAAACGTTTCACTAATTATAAGAGAGCTTTATATGACATAAAAAAGTGAGTCTTTAAGATAAAGTGAGTGTTAACCGTAAAAATACTGTTATAAGGTGTACCTGCCCTTAATCACTGTTGTTAAACACTTGATTAGGCCGTTGTTGCTTTAAAATCTATATTTGAAAGTAGGCCTACTAATACATCCAAATATCAAATTACAAAATAAAATTCAAAGGAGTATAAACATGATACATAAAGAGAGCAACTTATCACTTGATGAAAGCCTAGTGTTTGGACCGCTTGGCGTGGCCTTCGATGGATATAAAACACTTTTCTTGCGTATTCTCCTGAACATAGTTGCTGCTGCGTTTGCGAGTAGGGGAGTTGGAGGGCGACTTTTGTTTTAAAATTTCCACATCATTCAAAATCACCTGAGCTCCACCACTGCAAGTGGGAATAACATCACCCTGCAAAAAACAGGATTAATGAAATAAGTCTTAAGGTGGTTTACATTCAGCATTTGCTGCATACTGAGAGGCTACTCATTGAATCATAACTAGAGTGTATGGGTGTTTCGTCTACTTGTCATTTGACAAACACCAGTGTCGGTGTTTTCCACAAAAGAAACTAACACACTGGACTCTGAAGGTGAGGATGTGTGGGCACCTCTAAGTTGCAAGTAAGTAAACACCAACCCAAGTAGCTCGCCTCTAGTTAAATGTTCTGCGCTCAGCGAATGCCGCTTTTATGGACCTGCCTTTAAGGTACTAGTATTCTAATTTCGGTGTATAGTAACGTTTTGTGTTTATTCAGCCAGAGAGGACTCTTTCCCATTCAGATAAGCCTGCTTTCCTCACAAAAAATCTTATAACTCTTTAGTCAGGTAGCTTGCCTCAATTTATCTTGACAGGGTATATTGGAAGCTTGTCTTTCTATGACAGTTATACCGGGTGTTTC